TGTTGTTCTTTGGTTGTTTGTTTGCTTGTTTGTCCTTCTTTCACATCGAAACAGAGTGAGGGATTAGCGTGATTTTTTGGGTGGAAATAGTTGGAGGGCTGGAGAGTGACATAGACTACTTTTTTTGGCGCGAGAGATTATCTCATTCCCACGAGAAAACACGTTATAATACCACCCACAACAACTCAACATGGCTATGTATATATACATGTATAATATAGTCTATATTCCATACTAACCGTTAAAACGCACCTAGGGACGAACCCGAGCGAAGAGAGGGTGAATCGGGTAGTATATAATAATTAAGTATCGAGCTAATAATAACTTTTTTACTCTTTATTCTGTATATTTAAACATAATTTTTCATCTCAAGACTAAGTACAGTTTACACACAAGTACGATATCTGTCTTAATGAAAGATTGAAAATATCAAGTGGCAAATTGCAAATGTTTTCGGTGGTCGGATGACGCGACGCCATCAAATGAGCGGCCACTCGTTAATGAAAGGGGTTAAATGGGAAATTGACCAGTCGACCCTATGCTTATAGCTTTATTGTCTACATTTACTGTTAAACTTATATAGATAGACTCGTAACATAAATGTAAGGAATGCAGTAATGTACTTTTTATTTGTCCTTCGCAAAATGCCGCCAAGAGAACACTAAACTCTTTGGTATTTGGTGATATTGAAAAAAATATACACAGATTATCTCTAGATTGCAAAATTTTTCGGTTATGTGCAAATTTTTGGATGGAAATTTTTCAATTTATACTTTCACCTCGTTATTGGTGTACCGCAAGATTACTTCACTTTGTTAGGACTCCATTTTATAGTAATTTTAGCCCACAATACCGTAGGTGTTAGTGGGTGTTTTAGTTAGTCCCTCTTTAAAAGGCTTTTTTTTATGAACCAATAGCTTTTGCAGACATTTTTGGTTCTTCTGAGACTATCGATAAAATAAGATTACATAAAAAAACGTTACGTCACATCATTCGATTGTAAAATTCGTATGGCGTAGAAGTCGGTACAAGGAAAACAATTCTTTATTTTATCTTCTACGCATTACTTTCATACATATTAGTATTTTACTCTTGTAAATTATTTAAGTGATGTTGTGCGTGAGGTTGAGCATAAACTGAATTTGTTATTTTAAATTTTGCCAACAAATCGATCTCCAGAAGATCTTTCCAGAAGAATAGACACGGTCGCATTCTAGATAGTGTTATAATAGGATTCAAATTACATTTAGTTATAGTACCATTTATCAGAGCTTCACTACATAGTGTAATACAAAGTCGCTTCCCGCTGTCTGTCTGTCCCTACGTATGCATAGATCTTTAAAACTACGCAAAGGATTTTGATGCGGTTTTTTTAATTGATAGAGTGATTCAAGAGGAAGGTTTAGTTATTAAATACATGCATATAATACAGAAAAGCCGAGAAATTCAAAGATTTGTGTTGTATGTGTACATACTTATCGTTAAAACGTACCTAGGGACGAAACCGAGCTATGCGAGGGTGAGTCGCTAGTGGAATATAAAATGTGATATGAACAATTTATGTCATATTAGTAGAGAAATGTATGTGGTATCGGAAATAGCACATAAATTGCATATGTGATGTCTCTTTTGTGGATATTACACTCGTTTCGGCATTTAACCTTTGTTGTAATTAAAGTTTTCTAGGATAGTTGTGGAGTGCATACGAGTATGTTACATAGGGTATTTAATTATATTTTAGAGGACATAATAATAAAATATATTGATTCAAATTGGGTGCTTGCAAGTGGAATTATTTTCGTGTATATCTGCATAATATTCCATCATGCTTGTTTATACAAATACATATTTAAAAAAACTTTCCGAAAATACATAAAAGTTGGCATCAAACACCATAGTGTACCTGAACCAACATCGTGGACCTACAAAGTAAACATGGTTCTTCTATTCACAACAAAGACAGTGTTCTGTGTAGTCTTTTCTTGGAAAACACCATTCGTCCACCCATTTAATCTTCCTTCGAGCAACAATACGGGGTGATACCGCCCGGCGCAAGAGATGAATTACTTAGTGTAATTACAAGCACTGCGATAGATGAGCGCTCAGCTTCCCGTATTGTACCAAATCTTAAGATTTAACGACTGATTTTCGTCATCTTTGTTCTAAGATGATGAAAATGTTGTTCCATTACGTATTTACTTAAATATTTTTTCTTAGTTACCAGTTTTAAGAGACTATTCACTAGTAGCTACAGCAATTTTTTGTACAGTATTGTGTTGTATTAATTTTACTGTGAGCTTTTATTTAAGTTTGTGTCAAACATCTGTACTCATAATATTGAAGTCTTCAACTCTCGAAACAAAGTTCAGATTAGTTGAGCTATTGAAGCTCAAGTGAGATTTTGTATATAATTACAGTCTGAGGTGCATATGTACATATGTATGTAGTGCTGTTACGTAGACAATGGCATTATAACACAACCCAAAGAGCGTCTTACAAGAGCTTATGGACACAATCTGAGTCAATCTAGTTAAATGTTGCCATCACTTATACACCAAGTGGAATAGATGTGAATCTTCATATTATATCTAAAATTACTTATGTAAAATGACAACCCTTAAGATAAGTTCAGAATAGTCTATACATATAATAAAATTCTAAAAAAAAAATACTGAGTGGAATCCGTAAATTAAATATTTTTTGGAAAATCTTATTGAAATAATCATTATTATCGATAGAGAGGCCGAAACTATAGTTTTTAGAATTTTTGTCTGTCTGTCTGTTACCGCATCACGGAAGAACAACTGGAGGGATTTTGATGAAATTTGGTATGATGATAGCTTGTTATTCGGGTTAACATATAGGATACTTTTTATTGCGGGAAAATATCTCATTTCTGACAAACCTATACTAAACGTTAAGACGTAAGTAGGGACGTCCCTAGTCACCTATAAAAGTATTTAGATTCGCTCTCAAGCCAACCGATTATAATAAACAAAATCAAAGAGAACAGAGGGTTTTAGCTAGCGTACGAAGATGCGATCATTATTTACCTTTTACTCGTGGTAATTCTATTCGACGTCCCGATCGAATGACGCCTAAAAGCATTTTAGCGGAAACAATTTGTCGGTTCGTTGTCAGCGGGGCGGCTTCGCGGTGTTTTATTAAATTTGTATAACGTCTATTTCCTTGGCATATTATGGTGGCTATAAGTTTAACTGTCAGTGGGCTGCGATGACAGATGTGGTGGAGCTTTTTTTTTTTACAAGCTCATGTTTGGTATAATTTAAAAGTGCTATAATTGGTTCTATTTATGTGTTTATAATTTATATATTATTAAATCGTCTTGGATGTTATCGATATTAATTTAATGGTAATATTGAATATTTTAAAAATGTAACGTTTGCTGGAATCACAAAGATTTTTTTATTTTTATTTATCAAAAAAAAATTAACTAAAGTTTTTTATCATTAGATCTGTTTGCTTCACCTTACCTAAACAATTTACGTTCAAACATAGTGTCGTCAATACTTATTTTTACAACTTAACGAATTATATATCGAAAAAACGTTTCTCTGCAGATAATAAGTAATATTTTCCTTCAAATTTAAACTCCTCTTTTATATAGCAAATTATAGCACAAATAAGCGCAAATGTTTCAAAGTAAATAAACTAAAAAGTATAAATAATATTCATAAAACCCAAGACTGAGTCTTCTCGGTGCCGCTACTAACTTTTTTGATACTTAATAAGACGACGGAACTGATTAATTAGTGACTTCGCAAGATTCAAGTTGATTTCAAAAGCAAAGTCATAGTTGCGTAACTTTATGCTGAACTGTGTTCAACATTTTGATGAGACGCTTCTAATGAATTAAGCTAAAGAAAATATGACGTGTTTAATGCTTTTTTTTCGATAAATTGATACTAAATTATTTGAAAATTGCGTTATCTACATTTAAGTTTTGCTGAAAGATGAGAAGTTAGGGTTACAAGAGATAAGACATTGCGAAATCGTTGTGAGCTGTCTTAATACTGCAAACTTTGAATTTGAATTTTATTTTTGGTGATCGATCAATCGAATCAAAATATAAGATCTATGGGGTTTCTAAGGATCGAGTGGTAGGCTATTTTCTTTTACCCAATCCACACTCATCATGTTTTGGCACATACGAGTACTTTGGTTGGCAAGATTCGGGTAATATAAAAAAAAAACTTTTACCATTAGACACTAAGTTACGCTTCAGGGTTTATGGATAGAGACATATTCAGTCCTTTATTATATAATGTCCAATTATATAATGTATATTAATATCCCACTGCTGGGGGTGAGGCTCCCTTCATAACCAGGGGGATCAAGTAAGCCACGCTGGTATTACATTTAAAAAAATAACCAGAAGGGAATCAAGTGGACCATAGTCCATCACGCTGGCATTTCATTAAAAATAGTAAAATCGGTTATATTCTGATCATTCGTAAATGTGCAACTGTCAGCAACACTCGTCACGGATCGGTGCGCGTTTTTAATATACTATTTTAACTGAACTAAGTGAACCGTTCCCTAGTGAGCCGGGGGCGCCGGGCGGGAAACCTCACGTCATTTACTTGTCACGTACTGTTGACTCTTGATAATAATAATTTTACACGAGATAATTATGTAATTATGTGTTAATTTGAATAATTCTAATAATTAATGATATAATAGGTTTTATATAAAAGTTACAAGAAAATTTATATACCTATGTGTATTCACTCGATTCGCCGGATATTTTAAGATATGAATATCTAATAGGTGAATATGTATGTATTTTACGTATTGAAATACATTAGATTTGCTTTGCATCGGCTGGCACCGACTTCGAAAATATCTGATTAGGTATCTATTCTAAATGAAAACCTCCGTTTAGTTATTTTTTTACATTTTAGTGCCTGGAAGTCGGTTTTATTTTTTGTTAAAAAGTTTTTATTATATTAACTAAACAACATTCTCTTTCTTTTCAGGTGTGAGCGCGAATAAGATCGCCAAACGCAACGACCTGGCCCCCAACAAGGGGGGCCCGTTCGCGGCGGCGCTACGCACGCTAGCCAAGAACGCGGGCCCCGAGAAGGACGGTGAGTGGCACGCTTTAACACCCTCTCACCCTTGACCATTTGGGTAAAACTGTTACTTGACGACCGATTTGGAAAGAAAGAGGTTCTAGGTTACACGTGTTTGTTAGTTTTTGATACGTTTAATGTTAACTAACGAAAATTGAGTCAGTTTAGGGGTAGTGCCCATGATTTTTCTGCTATAGTTTTTGTTAAACATCACGGACTGACTACACTGAAGCTCTTTAAATCAAATTAACGATGATTCAAAAGTGTTTATAATAAGTCTAATTGAAGTTTAATTTCATTTTTACTATTTTTGTTGTATTTATCGTTTTGGGTAACAGTTTTGCTCGAGTGCTCTCTTTTTTTAGTTATTTTTTTTGTTTTATTAATTTGATAATAATATTTTCCAACAGTGCTGCACTTGTTGGGTTGAAACGTCCATAAATAATAAAATATTGCAATACAAATAAATATTGACGATATTGAGGTATCGATTGTAGGAACGATTACTAAAAGGCTGTTGTTGACTGAATGTTATAATTTATTTTGTATAAAATTTAGAAACTTCTAAAATGTAATCTTGGTGTGATTTACTACTTAAGAGAAATTTTAATATAGTGTTAAGCTAATTGATTTTCTTTTCAGGAAAATTTAATTAAGATTATGCATAATTATTACTATATTTGATTGTATAATTCATATTTAAGACATTTTTCTTGTATCGGGTGTATTCGGGTTGAGCTTTAGTCTTTATTGGTACAAAAGTGCTGATACTGCCGTTTTATAGTGTATATAAAACGTGACATAATATATACAAAAAATATAACTCGTATAATATCTGCGTCGCGTTTTAATAGTAACGACTATCAAAACTCTAGTTGATACGAACGAATGGCATTACTCCTTTGACGCGCTTACTTTCAGAGTAGTAAAGTTAAATATGTATGTAATAATAAAATTGTATATAATATGTCATATTTTCTAAGAATGAGTGTTGAAATAATCTGTCAAAGCTCGATGATCATGACGTGGTTAGCTCAATCCAAATATCCGCACCCTAGTATAGTATTACGGCTCACAATGCGAGTGCACAGGTGCCGGCGCACCCCCCGCAGAGCGCGACGCAAAGGAAAAGCCGCCGCCGGCGAAGCGCGCCTCCCCCCACCACCTGCCGGCCAGCGGGTTCCAACCCTACCGACCTGATGAAAGGTGAGCAAATCAAAATATGTATATTTTATTCAAATAGACCTTTACAAGTACTTTTTAATCGTCACTTTTAAATTTTCAAAATTTAAATTAAATGAGGAATTACCACCGGCTCGAAAGGCAGTTCTGCTGAGAAGAGCCGGCGAGAAACTCAACAGTTGCTCTTTTAAAATAATATTTGTTTACAATTATGTATTGTTCATAATACAATAGTTATCTACTTATCCTGAGTGAGCACTGTACAATATGAGGCTAAAGTTCTCCTTTGTTTTTGTATCAAAACTTTCAACTATTCAATTCTCTTCTCAATATCTTCAAATCGTGCCAGTTGAGCACAGATTACTTCGCCAATGTCACGTAGAGAAGACACAAAGGAGATTGATCGATAAAATAAGATTATATGCACAAGCGCAGTCTTCATCTTGGGAAACAGTTTCTAGGCCAAAATGAAATAATAGAGTGTACACCTAAGCAAATCCTGCAGTTTATTACAGCGGCAATATGCAGCTAATATGCGGTGATCACAACAGACGAGAATTTTTCGAAGTGATACATATATCTGCAACAAAAAAAAAGCTTGTATAAAATTAACAAAAAAAAATTTGACAAGTTAACTTTTTGCAATTTGTCAAGCAAGCAATCAACAACATTGTAAATTTAGTTTTAAAGAGATATTGAATTTGAACTTAAATATATGTTCTATGTATAAATCATATCAATACTAAGATGCAATGTTTTTTATTGCAAATTTTGTATTCACTCCACAGAAACTACTTGTTCTGTTCGAGAGACCCATGTTATTCGAATGCCAAAAGCATGTCAATCCGTTACACCCGTAACAAACCAACACACATATAATATTAATATAGGGTAGTCTATGCAGTAGGATAAAGTTGCTATTTCTGTCTCGCTTTTGACACATTTATTTTGTGGATGACACAATACTGATGCGGTTTTGCCGCCTAGAAAGCCATAAAAAAATGAAAGAAACATGAAAATGACTCACAAACTTAGGAATAGAATACACATAAGATCAAATAATACTCATCGTCTTAATATCTTAAATCCATGCTAATATTATAAATGTGGAAGTGTGTTTGTTTATTTGTCCTTCTTTCACCTCAAAACGGAGGAGGAGGAACACATTGGCATGATTTTTGTGTGGGGATAGTTGGAGGACTGGAGAATGACATAGGCTACTTTTTACCGCGGGAGTTTACCTAATTCCCACGGGAAAACACGTTATAATACAACCCATAAAAATATTTATGATCAGAATTACTTCAATAAATACGAAGGTATTTTAGCATTTTCGTTCTATAAGGGGGTAAAATAGGGGATGAAAGTTTGTATGAAACTACCTTATAATTTATTTATTTATTTATTTATTTATTTATTTTATTTATTTTGTAAATTGGAAAACAGACAGCATATATAAGCATAAAATGCAAAATACATAAGAAATAATACACTTAGCCAATAAAGTTTCCACTTATACACAAATATAGCAGTTTTGCTAGTTTACTATAATTACGTTAATTAAAACTATATATTTCTTAAAGGTTGTCCCACCCTGCGGCTGCGTCGTTCCCGCTCCTGGAGCCGACGTACTCGCCCTATGCGCACCCCTCGCTTTACTCTAGCGCTGCGTTGCAATACAGGTATGTCAATGTCAATAATCACTGTTATATTTTTTCAGTTGGAGAAATAATAATAATAAAAATAATAATAATTTTACTGAAGCTTGTAATCCGCGCAGGAGATATTATAGTGCACAAGTGTACGCGCAAACTTACATACTCTGTATATACTCTTATACTCTGGTAGGACGACTATTCGACACAACCGTGATCAGGCGAAAGATTTCTGCGAAGCACGTCTGGGGGAGAGTTAGGGAGAAACTCCGCCAAGTTTCCAACTCTGGACTGTTCACTCAGGACTTAGAAGTTCTCTAGAGAAGACTTCAATGACTAAACGTGATCTGACCACAACTCTTCTCATTTTCCCTTATTTTTTCTACACTCCCTTAGATTGTAACGCCAAAATAACGCATGGTTGGTTGTTACCTTTGTAACGAATAAAATACAACTATCCGCTGAATACTGTTTGCCCATAGCAAGAGTGGCATGGTTGGGTGACAGTGGCTAGTGACCAAAACACTGAAGTGTGTCTCAGAGTCGAAAAGTTGACAGTATTCCTCCAGTTGCATTGTCTTACCGATTCATTTCATGATTTATATAAGTATTAACATACATAAGGATAATAATTCGAAATAATTTCATACATGATGATAGTAAAAATAATTTTCCCCCAAACAGGCTAGCAGCAGAAGAACAAATGTACTTAGAAAGGGTATTCCGTGGGGGTGTCGGCATGGGGGTGGGGGTTGGGTGGTTGCCGCCTTATGCCCTCTACCCCCCGCTAGCGCCGCCCCTGCCCCTGGTGCCCCACGCACCCCATGGGCCACATGGACCCCACGGACCCCATGGGCCCCACGCACCGCACGGACCTCACGGCCCACACGGGCCCCACGCCATACACGAAGACAGGGAGAAAGAAATCGCGTTGCAGCGGGAAAGAGAAAGGGAAAGAGAACGAGAAAGAGAAAGGTAAGATATGACTTGAGAAGTAACAGTTTTGTAATAATTATTGTATTTATTTTTTCATGTTTTAATTAAATGAACAGCATTTAATTTTATATAACTATTAGATGAACATCATAATGTGCAAAATGCTTAGGTCAAAAGTAAAAAGTATTTAAAGAGAATTTCCAATTTAAATAAAATCAACTTCTCAGTTCGTCACAATAGGCAAGAAATGTTAAGTTTATATGATATATACATCATAAAATTACATACTAAACAATATTAATCTAATTCCAGAGAGCGAGAGCAGCGAGAGAAAGAGCAGAGAGAGAGGGCGGCGAGGGAGAAAGAGTCCCGAGCGCGAGAGGCCCTAGCCGCGGCCGCCCTACACGCGCCCCACGCGCTGCCCTACGCCCTACCCCGCGCCCTACCGCCCTTACTCTACCGCCCCTACCGCACCTTCGCCGACTACGAGCCAGAGGACGAGCGAAGTGAGCCCCCACAACCAAACCCCCACCCTCCCCCAAACCCCCACTCCACCACCCAACACCCCCCGGCGTCCGACCCCCCCGCGTCACGAACCCCCCAGCCCGCGCCCGTCTGATCTCCCCCCACATCACGTACCCCAAATACCCCCTATTCTCCCTTTTGTAACACTGTCAGGTAACCAATATATGACAGCGCGTCCCCTCTTTCCCCAAAACGATGTGATAACTAACATTACAACTGTCAGTGTGAACATATAGTCCCCATCTTCCCCTTTAGCACTTGTTCGATGAACTGTATAACCCCGAATTTCTGTATCGAAATAAATGTTTAAGTGCTACCCTTCTCTTTTTAATATTCTTATTCGATAAACTTCTTTGAATAAGTTCTCTTTTATTAACACAGCATCTCGATCTCCTGTCCCCCACATACCTTCATCTCCTCTACCTCCCCTTAACCTATCCAATGTCCGTACAAAAATCCCTTTCCTCCGACGCGTTACGAAAATTGGTCTTAAAAGTTATTATATGTAACTTAAATGTAAAAAAAATATGTAAAAAGAGCGAAGGCACGTCAAAGGCATAATTGAACTGAGTCATTTAACTGTAATCTAGGCGATTATTATATATTATTGTATGACGTTATAACGGGTCGTGTGACGTCACTGTGTAAAAAAACGACTGTCTGTCTATGTAGCTGTTGCTATAGCGGAACTTATTATTATTATTTTTGTAAGTTATGCTTCTTGATGCGACTTTGCTCGGTTTATGTGTAGAGATATGGAATTTTTGTATGGCATAGTGTTACAAAATGTGTAATAATAGCATTAAAAAAAATTACACCAACTGTTTGTGATATATGATTTTTTTTAAATATGTAAGAAAGATTAAAATAAAGGGCAAAGGTTTAAAACTGCCTGTTTATATTTAAATAAAAAATAATCTTTTAGTATTTATAATACTAAGGCTTATTAAAAACAATACTAGACGTGCGTTACGAATTTTGTATATATACATACATACATACATATACATTGATATGTAAATATTACATACTGTTCATTTTTTTCTCATTAAAAATGTAACCCATCCAACTCCATCTCTAGTGATAAGCACTTCACCTTTGCCTTTTTAATATTTATATCGAATTTAAGATAACATTATACATACATAATAAGTCAACGAACAAACAAAACAAACGTAATTTATTATAATTATTATTATATTATAAACATTTGGTGTGATTTACCAAGAGACATGGACACATCCGATCTCTTCCAAAAGAAAAGAGAAAGAATCGAGTGCAATAGCTAAAATGAGTTCCTACAGCGTAAAATTACGTGAGCACCAATCGAATAGTAATGAATTGGACGCGCTCGCTAGCGAGTCGCGTGTCGGTCCCGCGAGGCGCGTCGGGGACTGCGCGGGGTGTGTGGCGGCGCTCCGGCCCTTGTCCCTAGGGCTCTTTATGGTCCTATTAAGACTGTGCAGACCTATTAGGGTTCTGTGGAGACCTAGTAGGGCTCTACGATAGGGCCTATAGGGCAACGGCCGCGAGCGTCGCGACATGAAACGCGATTATCTTTTTTTTCTCTCCTTAAGTAGTCTTTAAATTCGCGCTTTGTACCGCATTTGTTTGTAAGAGTGAGGGCGTCGCGCGACCGATACTGCCATTCGGAATTTTGTAAACGGAAACCTCTTTGTACGTTTAAAAATTAAATTTAGATAGTTTTTAATTTTAGCTTTTAATAGGTGTTCAATATTTTTCACGATTCAAGTCACGTCACGTTACGTCACGTAACGTTACGTCACGTCGCGTCACGTCACGTTGCAAGGCATTTAGTGTGTACATACATATAGCTAGACATATGGACAATACCTAACAAGTGAAGAAAATATGATTTTATTGAAAAAATACATTCAGTGAAATTAACATGCATGCTGGTCGCCTCGCGCGATCCGTAGTTGTTTTTTTTTAATTTCAACCCTTCTCTCTCTCCTTCTCCCTCACCCTCTCCTCTCCTTTTCTCCTCTCGCAGCTTAAAGCAGCTTGTAGTTACATATGTGTGCAGTTTCAGAGATTTGTGCGAACATACATACAGCTGTCTATTTTGTTCAAGATTTGTGGCTTCATTTATAGAGAATTTAATCTGATCAATGAATTAAAGCTTATTATATTTTGATATGATTACAAAGGTTTGAGCTACTTTTTTTTTCTTAATAACAGACAGATGTGATGATTATACTGAATATATATAAACATTTTTTGACTGAAAAAGTTATATAATCCGTTCTCAACTTGCACTGACAGTTTGATTGACATAATATTTTCTTAGTAAATAATGAAAAAATGCTTGTTTTAAAAATATTAATATTTATTAAATTCTCAAGCACAGAGCAAATAAATTTAAATTATAATTCATAATTAAATTCAAAGAATGTTTGACATAAAATTAAATTATAAAATGAATACATTACGAATTAATATATTGCTAAAAAGCATTTAGTGGTGGTGAGATTATTCATTCGATGTACGACCGATAAGACTGTTTAATCTGTGGATTTTTACTCAATTCAATCGTCTTCGTGGACCTAATTGGATGGGTTTTTTTAAAGTAATAAATATTTTTTTCTTGGTACTTTCTAAAACCAACTTATAGGTTACTTATGGTGACTTCTTAGGTTTTCTAGTTTAAATCCTATCTATACAGAAATGTCACTCTTAAGTGGGTTTTTAGCATCGATACAAAGAGTACTAGATACACAGTCAACGACAAAAAAATGTCCTCACCGAATGAGCGCTCTTTTGAATATTTGAGCGCGCTTTTTTTCTGAAAACAACTTCAAGCATTGCATTTAAGGTTCAATTTAGATTGTTGTATATTTATTTTAATAATTACCTAAACACAATTATTGGAACTTTTGCATGGGATTGTGTATCTAGTAGTTTTTTGATCGATGGTTTTTATACATTTTTATATATGTATCCATATAAGATAGATACGGAGCTGAGTAATAATGTTTGGGCAATAAATAGATTCTAACTTACTTCGACCTATAGATGGCGTTAAATATATAGAATTGCGTTTATGTAAAATTTATAACAAAATTATAAGCAAAAAAAAATGGTTAACTAAAACCGCAAAATCAAATATTGATATTTTGAATCTTAACTCATTTTTTCATTTTATTTTACAGATTTGAATTCGGCAATTACCTATTTAGTCCGATTTTCGGTCTCAACGGTAATAAACGGTTCCGTAGATGCAAAAAAAAACATGTTTACCGATTTTTTTTCTGTTAGGGCATTGCTATATTTAAAATATTATTGTAGCGCACACAGGACTTTTTTTCTGATATGCGCCATCTATTATCTATTAAAAAAAATTGCACAAATAAGAACCACTTATACACACACACACTTTATTCTTATCATCTGTTATCTATATAATAGAATATAATTATATTATATTCTATATTATTAATTGCATAATTAAAATTTTAGTAATAACAATACAGCAAGGGATCAAACGAACGCAATTATTTCGTAATTTCTTCGGTGCGCCCTTAACTCATAGTAACTACCTCTAATAAGACTGTAGGTTGAGGTTAGTAATAACAACAAGTAGTAATTTATGTTTGTTTGTCTATCTATTTAACTACGTTATACTGGACCGATATCAGTTGGATTTTCAATATTTTATAGGTAATTTGTCTGAATTAAAAACTCAAATATTTAATCGAAGGGTATGGATTGAATCTAAAAGAGCTGAGCTGTTATATGCTTTTTATTTGCATAGATATAACATCTTAAATAAAACTATATTTTCAATTTTTTTTTTTTTTGGAATACGGTAGAATTTAAAACCAACTCCAATAGAGAATTATTTACACCATTTTAATAATGTGAAACACAATCACATTATATAACATATATAATTAACTTTTTGTTCTTTTTTTATCGGGCGAAAGGAAACAACATATTATGTATAAAATAAAAACTCTTATGCCCGATTTCACCAACATCCCATAAGCTACCACCTACGTATGGGATCCTTAGCTTAAAAGTTCCCCTAAACTAGCCCCTAAATTAAATTTCGTTTTACCGTCGTCAGAGCCCGTATTTCTAGTACCCTATATTTAGGTGGCATTTTAATATTTAGGTGACCCCTAACTGTCGGTGAAACAGAAGTGTCCCCTAACAGCCCCCTAACCATGCTTAGGGGATCCCTTAAACTTAGGTGACGTTCGTGAAATCGGCCATTAGTGTTTCGCCACATTTTTTTCGTGGATATTTAAAATGTCAAATATTCTCGTAAATCTCAGAAAGTATTATACATTTAACATCTTTTATACTAACAACTGAATATAATATGATGATGATGTTCTCCTAGCCGATTCCGGCCACGGCGGCCAATCTCATTGAGATTAGCCAACTGCGCAGGAGATATTATAGTGCTCAATTGTACGCGCAAACACAAGCGCACTCTCTATTCCTATCACTCTCATACTCCGGTGGGACGACCACTCGACACGACCGGTGAGAGTTAAGGCGCAGGACCGACGGCTTTACGTGCTCTCCGAGGTACGGGGGTGAAACACCGCCAACTTCCCAACTCCGGGTTGTTACTGAGACTTACTATACAGAAAGACTCAGTAACTAAACTTGGCCCGACCCGGGACTCGAACCCAGGACCTCCGGGTGTGCAGCCTTACATGCTAGCCACTACACCGAGGCCTATATAATATTAATATAATATTAGGCCTAATTAAAAAGACTCTCATATTATCTCCAGTCAAGCCACTGAAAAATAGGTTATAAGTTTATAACATATAATAATTATTATCAATTGGGCGAAGCTGCAGACAGAAGCTAGAAGGAATGCGTTAATATTTTTTATAATTTTGGCTCTATAAATAAATACCTTTATGCTTAGATAATAAAATATTATAATTGCCTATTTAGATATGCCACAATTTTCGCGGGTTCGAATCCCAATAAAAATAGGTCTGAAAGCGAATAGATTAGATATTGAATTTTACAAATTTTCTACATAAACTCGAATTCTACAACTAGGAGGAGATCTTGAATCTCGCCAACTATAATACTGGCTCAACACAGGATTAGAATCCAGGCCTTATTATTTCAGTCATACATGTACGTCTGCTAAGTAGGAAGTAGATGCTAACCTACATCTATCGATGCATAGACAATATAAATAACCCCAAAATCTGTAAATAATCTGTCAAAGGGATTGTCACTTATAAAAACAAACTGCTTATTTACACAAGTTGTCGAAAGCTTATAGTACTCACAAAAACTAACTAAAATGCCTTTCTATGGCTAAACCCATCCCGGACCTAGATCTTCGTAACCTCTCCAGGCGTGATGATATTGAAAAAGAAGAATCTGTATACGAAGGAGTACGGGACAGTCCGAAAAATAGTATAAACTTAATATTAGGCACGTTTGCGGGTTGGGTGGTGGGCTTAGGGGTGGCAAAAATCGGTAAAACCGCCGCTTTCGGCCTCGGGGGTGGGATTCTTCTGTTACATTTAGCTACAGAGCTGGGCTATATACATGTAAATTGGGATAAAGTTAGAGAAGCATTAGGAAGGAGTCAAGAAATTATAGAGAAAGTGATACGTTTTGTTAAGAAGAACAGCGGCGGGTCGGTCGGCTTCGCGGGAGGTTTCTTCTTCGGAGTGGCGTCGGCGTGACATTGCATCCAAATATGAGAAATGAAGACATGTTATTCAATTAATATTTAGATCATACCTATGTCATTTTATTTTTATAAACAAATTCCTAAAAATATAAGTACACAATTATTTTGAAATTATCAGTTTACCCTACACAAATAATAATACAATAAGATTTATATTTCATAGTATTTCTGTCTGTTTGTTCGCACATCACTTAAAACTTAAAAATATTTAAGCATCGAATGTAATGTTCATAAAATATTTATTTTTAGCTTTATAACCGTTAAATGGTTAAATATATTTTTTGCCTGCTTGTGTCCAATAATCTCTGAAAGGGCTGAACTGATTTTATTATATAATATTATTATAAAGAGGTAAAGCTTGTGATTTAGATGAAAATTGGTAAGAAGATAGTTTGAGACCCTGGGAAGGACATAGGACACTTTTTATCCCGGAAATCATCCCTTAAAGAGGTGAAAATGGGGATGAATGTTTGTATGGCGAATAAAGATAGGGACGAACCCGAGCGAAGCGAGGGTGAGTCGCTAGTTAATAATAATTTGTGCTAGTAATGTAACGACACTCCATTACTAGCAAAAGTGAAATTGGTACTTTAATTTTACTGCTAAGCAAGTTTTGTAGTCTGTCTCTAGTTCCACAAACAGCCGCTGAAGCAATCTAATCTTCACAAGTACTCAGTAGGGCGGCAGTTTCTAACTTATATGATTCAAAAGGCCTTGTACCATACAAAGTAGACGCACAGATCATATATTAATATACATAAACGTATCAACGATACGATTCTAAGAAAGTAGAGGCATGCACAGTAAAAGAGCATATAATATGTATATGTTGCAGCCAACTAGCTTAATAAGCGTTTAATATTAGTACTGTGGTCAAAGTTCTAACCTAATCTTTTTTGGGAGTCAAGCCGTGCTCTAAACTAAAGTACTAAAAATTAAGTAAAATATTCATTTATTTTACATTAAAATAATAGAATTTTCAATACCGATTAAATATTTCATATATTTTCGTTACACGATTACCTTATTCTATGAACGGCCCAAGCATCTGCCAGCCCGTTCATTAAATGAATTATATAATTAGACGCATTGGTATTATCATTTCGGCCTTTTAATTAAACCTAGGCCGCTAATTAAACGGCTGATTAAGCTAATTGGCTGCGACATATATGTATATGATATTCCCATACAATTCGCTTTAAACGTAAAAAAAATATATATTGGTCCTTATATTTTTATTTGAGTGTATATCCGCTAGAGGCACTGTTAGATAATGTATGGAAAATACCTCAGGCAGGGCCAAATCTAAGGGGAACCAGCCGGGCAAATTAAATTAATTATTTATTAAGTTGACAAAAGTTACAATGTATCTGTAATTATTATAAAAATTAAATTACTACTTTAGTAGCATTCTCGTATAGCATAACATTTTATTTCAAAAAATGAGGGCGCCGGGTTGCACGGAGTCCTGAATTTTCTTTCTAGGGAAAAAAATCGTATTAAAATTACCATGCTCAGCAACCCGACAAAAACGTATTTTAAGGTATTAAAAACAAGCAGCACTTAAACAAGCCAAGCAGAAAGAAAGAAATAGAAGTACTTAAATAGGAAAGAAGGGACCATCTCTTTCAATGTAAGGATTTTTGAATTGATAATACAAAGAAATTCTTCTAAATTTTATACCAATTTTACATTTCTGAACTGGCAACCCTTTTCGTTTCGTTTATGTTTAAGGGAGTTCCCTTAAACGTTAACATAAATAATTATTTCTAGTAGTTTGTATATAAGTACTATAATATTTTTGGGGGAATACCCCTTTATCCTATATTCCTACAACGCGACATTGTAGGGGAATCTTTTTTAAGGCAAAATTTACAATTAGTTTTTCTTCATTATTAATTTCTGAAGACTCCTGGTAAAAATGTTCTGTGCCAGAGACTAATTGCCATCACGATTTATTTTACGTAACTTATGAACCAACTTAAATAATATGTACCGACTTTATAATTTTATCAGTTTGGTCCAAATCTTTTTAACTTCTGGAACGATCTTGATGAAAAATGTTTATTATTCCCTAAGTTAAGGGGTCATTAACATTTGACAGTGTGACAGTTGGAGACAAGGAAACAGCACGAGGGAATATAAGCCAGCCAGCAGCAAGTGGAAGCAGGTCGATGATGATGAAGTTGAAAGATACATATGTCGATAAAAAAATATTTCAATCCATTCAGGTGTTTCTAAGAAATTCTTTAACAGACATACATATAAAGTTAAAAACATATACACGTACTATCATGAACTTTTGTGATTTGTTCAGAAGCCCCAGTAGACTAACATAATATGTGAATATTATACAATTAAATATATAACCTTAGATTATTTATATAATTGCTTTTGCCCAGAGCGCCTAAATAGCTAGATCGAGCCCTGACCACAACTATAAGTTATATAACAAATCAAGTTAGCTAACAACAAAGCTAATATAAAAGATCCTTTAATAAATAAATAATCAAAATTCGACAACAAATGATATAAATTAAATTAATAATATAAAATAAAAATATATATATGAGAACACCTTGTTTGGATTTCAATATTACTTTCAAATTCTAGCTCGACTCTATTAGGTTTTCAGACATTCCTCATGATATTTTTTGACATCATGTAAGATTAAATATATGATTTACAACTGAAAATATCAGACAGTGTTCTTATTAGGACTTGAACCCACCACATTATAAAAGCGTGCTAGGTGTCTGCTAACATATATGTAGTGCAAGTAATGGAGCACAGATGGCGTTGAAGGTTTCTGAATCGCGCTATCGAGTGGTCGCGTCGCGGAGTACGTAAGCGGGAGACAACACGACACGGTAAATCAGTTTAGTCGTTCTTGAGTATTTTTGATGTGCTCTAAGTTAGACAATGTCGAACTCAAAGCATTTTGTTAAATTTATAATTAAATTTTATATTATAAAGTAAAATAAATGTAAAAATAAAATATTAATAAATATATAATAAAAACGAAAAAGTTTGTGAGGATGTATATGCGCTATGCATGTGTGTTTGTCACTCTCATATGTCATTCTACTCAACATACTCTTATTTTGATAAAACTTTATAGTTATAAATACAGATTATATTCAGAATAACGTTTAGGCTATAATTTATGTTACGTAATACACAATTGAATTTGCATTGGACAGTACATTTTAATTTTTTTAGCGAAACTCTTAATTCCTTTTCAAAACAAAAGTAGCCTAAGTTACTCCTTATAACATCAGCTATAACTCGGGTCATCTAAAAAGAACGCTGGCTGTCAAGCTGCGCAGAAGCGATTTATCGGTCAAATTGGTGGCGGGGTGGCGGGGCACGGGCCGCGTGCTTGCCGGCGCGCTATTGGTTCGTCAGTTCGAAATACCATCGCGCACTCAAAAGTTTTTAATTACGAAATGGTTTTATATATAGAAAAGAGAAAAATTATTTTTGACGTATATTGTTTTACAAAGAGAGAGTCTGATAATAATGCAGTTAATAATTTAAAAAAATGTATTTAAATGTATTTCCGTTCCCATTATGCAATAGTATCCTTATTATATCGATTTCTGTTATCCTCTTTGATGAGGTGATTTTGAAAACAGTGTAAAAAACGAATTAAAGAAACTAAAATTATTTACTTTTTATACTTTTTGTTTTGAATTGATAAGAAATTATTTTTTTAAAGATTTCCTTAAAAAAAAATGATTAATATGTCCATTCTTGTTCTACCTAGTACCCGACCATTATAATATGAATTTGCTTACAATTTTTAATCAAAATACACAAATTTTCCTCTTAAAATCTTACTAATCGAAATCTCAACAAAAATTTAAAGTTTAAACTATAAAAATAAAACCCCTAAGGGACGAAAAAATGCAAAAGGCTAACTTAACTAACCCAAGCTTACTTACACTTTAACATACAAGAAACATACTGCAGAATTGCAAATGTCTTCTGAAGTAAGTAGAGTTAAAGAAGTTTTCACAGTGATTAACTTTATAATATAACGCATATATTTGTTTTTTTTTACTCGATGGTAATTTTACGAGTATTTTACACAGTACCGACAACCTTCTAAAGAGTTTCCACGTCTATCACTAGTTTTTCATGTCATCATGACGAGTATTTGTAGAATAGTGAGCATATAAATTATGGGAGAAATACTGTACTCAATGCTTTTGCAAGAGAACTGGGAGTTGAGGAATTTGGCCCGAAGGAAATAACAGTAAAAATTAAAAAAAGAGAACGTCAACATCTACGAGATGAATTCGAAATGCGATTCTTGCCTTCAAATTTTGTTTACACAAAGACGTCCAGTATTCAATGACAAGGCAATTATCTCTCTTCCACTTATGATATCGTATGTTTAGTTTACATTATCATAATTTTTTTCTTAATGTCGATAATCGTATCTTCAAGGCAAGAAACTCTCTGTGTAAATGGCGTATATATGGCGTATATACTCTCTGTGTAAATGGCGTAATATATATATATATATATATATATATATATATATATATATATATATATATATATATATTTATGCTAGAAATTGCACAGTGTTTATTGATTTAATTATCTATACAATCATGATGAAGCCACAGATTAATGTTAATTAGAAAAAAATCTACGTTCACAAACCCTAAAAATATAATAAATGAAATATCTTTTTAGCACTACTTTGAAATATTAAATGCTTCCAGATTACTTGCGTATTAGCTTGCTTGGTGTAAATATTTTTGCTTTTAATGCGTAATCCTCAATCTTTTTATCGGTTGTCAATATTGTACTGTATGAGTATAATTTTTAAATATAACACAGGTATTGTCCATAAACATCTATATGATAAACCAAGAATTGCAATATCACTTATACATAACGAGATAAGAGTACGTAAAAAAATAATTTTATCTTCTCTTTTCAGCTAGAGCCAGCAAGGCGAGTCAACCAGTAACGTCCATAGAAGAAGAAAGGCCAGTCGTTGTACAAGAAAATAATATTACGACTGTCGCTCCCATAACTAAGCCTCCTGAACCAACAAAACCTGAAGAACCACCTCCCTTTCATGAAAAACCTTGCCCTCCCACTTTCGTAGCTCCAAAACTCATATCACATTCACCTAAAATATCTCCATCTTCAATACCAAACCCAAGTCCAAGTGTCACGACTACAAAACAGGTTGAACCAGGATATCCTAATTATGGCGGCTACATGTATTCCGTACCTGGTTATTCTGCTTTCCAACCAGTGTCTTATCCCGGAATAGTCCAGCCAACACCAACTGTTGTACCTCAAACTAATAACTCAGATAATTCTAAAACTGAATTCGTTCCTTTTCCTGTAGCATCAAAGAAAGACATTACCCAAATACCGCAAGAAATTGAAAAAATTGATAGTGTAACAACTGAAAATCAGGCACAAGCTAATGTTCCCAATGCACAAAAAGATCTTGAAGAAAAATTTGCTCCGGAGGTTATTCCTTCTGTACCTACGAGTGAAGTAAATAAAAATCAAATAAATGAATCAAAATTATGTGTGACGTCATTAGCTCAGGGATCAGCCTCACATGTAGCTATACCCCCTCAAATTACTAATAAAGATATAAAAAAGAAACCACCCGAAAGATTCAGTCTTAAAACAAGTATCCCAATTAGTAAAATTGATATGAAATGTGTTAGTAATCCCCCAGACTCTATGTTTCAAAGTAATTTACCTAAAAAGCCTTTTAATCCAGCATTTCATACACCAAATATAAAAGAAAATGGTCCTAAAATAGAAATACAAAGTAATATAGTAATTAAAAGTGCAACGAGAGAATCAGATGTGATGGAAATAGCGAACGTTCCCCCAATTAGTAATAGCATAAGCACTTTAATCAATGCAGCAGAAGCTATTAGCAAAACAGATACACAATTTAAAACACCGGATCCAAAACCCGAACTGCCGAATGACACCAAGGAACCAGCATTTTCACCTCCAACAACAGTTGCTCCAACACGTCCTCTTTTTAATCCAATCAATTTAGATTCAAGTAAGCCGAATATTCCCACGAAACCACCAGATCCACCATTCAACGAATCAAAGAACCAAATTGTTTTCATACAAAACAAAAATCAATCAAATACAAAAATGTTACTAGCTATTCAACAACAAAACCCTCAAGTACTTCTACAAAGGACAAATTTTGATTCAAAAAACTTGCAAGCTCCTTCACGACCGTCAAGCCAATCAAAAAAATGTAAAGAAGAGCTCGTCAATGAAAATGGAACATCGTCCAAAGTTGTTTCTTTGAAACGAATGCATCAGGACAATTGTGACGAGAATGACTTTGAAAATTTAATTACAGAAAATCAAATATATGGCAATAAGATTGTCGTGAAGGAGAAATCGCAAGGTACCTCACAGGAACAAGACTTGAAAAACAAATCTAGATCTGACAAACCTAATCAAACTGAAACTAAAAATGTTGTGCTACAGCCGAATTTTGTCTATTTAAGTAATGTTCAGTTTCCAGCGAATCTGATGATGATAAAAAATAATACTAAAGTGACAGAATCAACGAAAATAAGAATGACATCTAATGAAAATAAACAAAACGATATAGCCACAACAGCTTCTAACAATGAATTGATTAAGACTAGCAAGCCACAAAATGTACCGGTAAGTAAAGAAATTCATGTACTAAAATCTAGCAATAATGTTTTACAAACTCTACCTAGTAAAAACAACAAACCAGACATAGTTTTTCAAGCACCAAACCAAAAAGTTATAATGAATTCACAAATTGTGTACCAAGTTCCTATGATCATGGATTCAGATAACAAATTGAATCAAACATTTGTCAAAGAATATCCTAAGATCGTCGGTCAAAACAAAAGAGACATTCAAAAACCTTTCGACCAAACTAAGTCAAATGACAAGCTTTACATAGCCTGTCCTTATCAAATGGACTCTAAACTTCAACCAAAGATTGTTATAACAAATATTAGGCCTAAAATAACTAAAGTAGAAGAAGTCAGTACACTTGACATTTACGAGCAACGTAAGAAATTACGTAGACTAAAATATTTATCAAATCGTGATTCAAAAAGTGGTCAAAGTAATGAAACTCACAAATCAGAGATAAAGAAAACACAAGATAACCTAAAAAATATTATAACCCCAGAAAAAATGAAAGAAGAAATTTATAAAGAATTCGCTACTACTAAAATAAGTGTTCATGAAGATAGTAACGAGAGCGATAGTGACTATGGTGAAGACGAATTAGATAAATATCAAACAATAATAGACGAATATGGACAAATTGTAGAACATAAAGAAGCTAAAGAAAATGAACTCAGGAAAGCAGAGTTTCTTGCACATTTCAAATTAGCTACACAAGATGAATGTAAAGGTAGATGAGACACCAATAAATATTATTTTTATAACATTCTTTTACAAACAATAGTAAATAATAACCTACTTTTATTCCAGAAATTGAACTAGATCGCCAAGAAAGGATAATCCAAAAAGACTCAGTCGCATCAGCCTATATTGCTGCTGGAAGAATAGATTGTCTTCAAAAAGAAGAAAATATACCAGAGAAACGTAAATCAGGTGTACCAACTACGGAAAACCTTAACATCGAGTTAATTGAAAAAGATGAAGGGGTTGATCAGCAAAGTAAAAGAAGTTTTTTAAATAACTTCAATTTAACTAAAGTGTCACCACATTATAAAGAAGGTCAATATCCATTTAGTAAGCTATTTTAAGTACATACTTATAACTTCAATAAACAATCTGTCAAGTGCGAACCGAACGAAACTACTGAGAGTTTCGTACCACCATACAATGAGTATGTGCTACGAATATTTTACCAATAAAGTAAGACTTTATGTTTTACATAAGTTGAATCCTCTAACCCGAGTCAGTCTCAATCGTAGCCATTTTATTATTTCTTCCTTTGAACCTACTTTAGTCATAAACAGTTTAACGCTTGTATGTATTATTGTCAAGCAAACTCTACCGTCAAATAATGGGGATAGGGCCCTAAAATTTTTTATTGTTTGTAAGAAAATTTGGCCCGTAGTAACATACTCGTATATTGTGTGAAAATATCCACTGACAGCCTATTGCGGCTCAATAAATACAGCCTTTTAAATTTAGGACAGACAAACAGACAGATGGTCACGGAGTGAACTTTAGATGATGATTCCAAAAAAATATTATTATAGTTTCAAGTCAATCAGTAAGTCAGTCAGTTCCTCTATCCTCCTACTATTTGCATCATCAGATCAAATCGATGGAACCAAATTATCGGCTTAGTTTCTAACCGGTATTATTATTATTAGAAGTTGTTTAGTGTTTTCGACTTCAACATTGTTTTACATACATAGTTATATGTGATACCAATAAAAGCGTGCTAATAACGTTAACTATATTTTTCAGGCTATGAAAAAGTATGGCATGAAATAATAAAAGAAAGAAAAAGAAGGGAAGATCCAACGGAATCTGGCATTATATTAAAGCAAGCAAGACTTCAGGCCAAAATCGTAGAACTTGATCCAAGTGGTCAACTTCAAATATTAACGGAAATAAAGAAACATGTTAATAAAAACAACAACCTTATAAAGAAAAGATTTGACTCGTATTGTGACGATGGGGAAAGTATTAAAATACTCGCTGAAAAAAATTTCTCCGAACTAAATCGTTTGTCCAAAATGGCGGATAGGAGTGTTAAACACTTTAGTGGGCAAGAAACGAGAAAAAGAGATCTAAATCCTGGTTTCGACAGCGAAAATATCCAAAAACCAAGACAAGGAAAATATTATCCAGACATCAATATACCAAACATATCAAAGATTATCTCCTTAAAAACAGTTCAAAGTGTCAATACGGTATCTTCAAGTCAGGCTACCTCGATGGACGAACCACAAAATTCGGCTGGAGGTGTTAAAGAAATATTTTCCGATGACTTAGACAAAGCTCAGGATTTTAGTTGCCAAGTTGATAGCTTATCTTCTTGGCCAGGCATAGAAACTATTATCAAAAACTACAAGGAATACGAAATAGGTAAGATTTTTACATAATTTGGCTAAAGTTTCCTCTAGTTTTTGTGTTTTAAGACACCTATAATCCCAACATTCACAAAGGAGGTTTCTCTTATCCAAAATAATCATCATCACCCTAATAGGCCTACACTAAATAACAACTTTAATATTTTTTAACAGGATTATTTCTGGAGCCTGTAAGATAACAATTAGATAATCTAGATATATTTTTTGTTTAACAAATTAAAGATCCAAGGATCACAGAAAATTTATATCACATATTTAAAATAGCCATAAACAAATTTATGTACAGTTAATTAATTTTTAACATTAATTTTTCTCAGTGCGAAAAAAAGAGATAGCCGATCTGCACAAGCGAAATACAGCTCTTCGAGTAGAGTCTGCGCACATCACTCGCGCGGCGTCCAGAGACACCGACAGAGCGAGAGCTCTCCTCGCGGAAAGGAGAAACTTGGCTAATGAAGAACGAGCCGTGCGAAATTCTATACAATGGATGTATAGCGTTGTGGACATTGTTAGAAACTACGAAGAAAAATGGAGTTAAATATGTTTAGAAGTCAAATACACTTTTTATATAATTGCCCAATTAAACCGACTTCAAAATTGATCTTACATACATACATGTACATTATAAATCCTTGTCGGTGTTTTTTTTTTATTTAAATGGTAATTAGTACTACTCCAGTATGAACTGGTTAGGGGCATCCATTAATTACGTGACATGTTTAGGGTGGGGGGGATGGGGGGATAGGGGGGTAGGTGGTATCGGCAAATATCACGTAATTTTTTTTCTGCAAGAATAAATGTAAAATTGCGAGAAAACTGCGTTAATTTAAGTAGAAAATGTTTCTCCACTAAAATATGGCTAAATTACTCGTATATAAATATAATAATATTCATTGCGGTTTAATTATGCACTGATAGAAGAATTTATTAACTTTTAATAATTTCATTCTTTTTAATACAATTTATTCATTTATTAAATATGAACAAATATTTCTTAACATTCAATAAATATTTATTACTAGTAAATATTTTTTTTTGGAGTGAATATTTCTTCTTCATATACGGTGCGCTGTGTGATGTGAAGATCATTCATAAAAAAATAATACCACAACTTTTAGTAATAAACATACGATGCAATAATAATTTTCAATGAAAAAAAATCAGTATAACTTATTACAACCATTATTTTATTATTTTATTGTCAAAGTAAATTTTTTATGCTAACTTTCTACTGAGCGATCTAAACAAATATTCATTAACTATAAATAAACATTTATTATCAGTTAATAAATTGTGTTTATTAAACGATTTGTTTTTTTTTTTAAATAAATCTAACGTAATCGAAGGACAGATTAACTACATTGCAAATACGCATTTTCAAAAATCTCACGTGAGATTTGGGAAGGGGGAGGTGGTCCAGCAAAATCTCTCAAAATCTTACCAAGGGGGGAGGGGGTGTTGAAAAATCGCCAAAATTGTCTCACGTAATTAATGGATACACCCTTATGGTGACATAGACATACATAGAATTTTCATTAAAACAAACTTTACACACTAATTTTGAACACAACTATATTTTTGAAATCTGTAATATCAACTACTTGGTACTCATTTTTCATCGTATGATTAATATGTCCAATAGAAAATGCCGAAGCTAGTTAATTTTCGAATAATTATATAGTTTGGTACTAAATTTTGAGTACCTACTTATGTACTTATTAACTGAATGTATATATTTAGACATAAGCATTTTACTAGTTATTAAGAAATTGAAAAAATAATGTAAATACTTATTTATAGGAAGTATGACTTCTTAATAATGTAGGCTTAGAGCGTATTGTTTTTGTAAATTCTATTTTGTTTTTATTTATTAATATTTCGTATGTAATATTTAATACATCATTATTATTAATAACTTAAGCAAAATTTTACAATTAAATCTATTAAGATAACAAACAGGTTTTTAATCATTTGTTTACAAAGTGATTCCCCGAAAGTACCACAGACTATACTATAAATACAGACTAGTCAGAGATTAATTAATAATTTTTATCTCTCAATGTATCTCCTACAGAAACAAATAAGTATTATAAATAAAAAGAAATTGTAAATGTTTATAGGCATTTTTGTTTTAAATGTTTCTTTCATATATATTTGTTTTATTATTTAAATCATTTGTAAAATCTAATAATTAAGCTTATATGAAATAAACCTATAATTAAAGCATAACTAGGATCAAAATATGTGTCTTCTGTTTTAAAATAACATTTTAAAAAATATTATGTAATAGTTCAAGCCGTTTAAAAGTTTTTACAAAGCATAATAAATCACAATCAGCTGTTCATTGAAATTCTAAAAGGCGAAGGCGAAAATGATTTTTATTTTTTACGTTAAAAAATTCATAAATAAATTGGTTCAATGAAATATTTTTTTAAAAATCGCTGAAAATTTTAATAAATAATAATATAAAAATTATATGTACCTGCACAATGTAATGATGTTTAGATTTCTGTATCTATTATTTTCAAAATTATTCATTGTTTTTATACTTAAGTTGTACCTAACACTGTACCTATTGTGTGATTATCAGTCATAAGTTATATAATAAATTGCAGTATTTTTATCTGTATCCAAAATTAGCTTTTATAAAAATAGTTTCAACTATTGATAAATGAATAAAAAAACAACAAAAGTAAATTACAGTACTATAATTATTATAATTACGATTGATGGGTACTTTATCGTCTGTGGATAAAGTACCAGTGACTATTAGTTGAATTTAACACAATATAAATTCCCAGGAAATAAAGAGGATCTCAACTGATTCGTTTAACTTATTTATTATTATTTTTAAATTATAAACTTTTTTAATTAAAAATCTTATTAAAGTCAAACCAGTATTTTCCGAGTAAGTAATTCATGATCAAAAAGACTAAAAATGCTGAAAAAGTTTATTTTTGTTTTGTTACATTTAATTATTATTTCGTTGTAATATATATATTTATATATATATATATATATATATATATATATATATATATATATATTATATTGTACAATATTACAATAACTTAATTGTATTTACAATTTGATAACTAATAATAATGAACAGTTTTGCGCTATTTTCTTGTAAGAGGGATAATCACCATGTGACCTCAATCTATATATGTATTATTTTTTTATAAAATATTTAAGTGCAATAATAATTATAAAATACAATTTTTAAATTAAATTATTCAAAATGAATACTTTTCATTGTTTACCTCACAACAAATGTATTCTAAAATTAATTATATTATTCTAATAATACTATTATTATTAGAATAATAATATAATAATAATATTATTCTTAATTTTATAAATTAGGTACTTATAAGTCTGGCATGGTCTACGCACAAAAAAAAAATCAATTGAGCAATTTATTTTCAGGTATACCAAAAGCGCTGTAATCGAAACCTAAACAATGTGTTGTATTAAAAAAAATAGTCGGTCTTGACTCTTGGAAGTCCCATTTTAGAAAATCAAGTACACAAAATGGGAAATCCCCTTCATAAAGAATAAGCACGCCTAACATGAAGCGATAACTGAAACCTACACTTAGTTTCACTATCATACAATTTATAATTATATATCTTGAATAAGTAAATAGCCTAAAAAGTATAATAGAGATGAAGATACGTACATACGTGTAAAAGTAGATGGGTGTAATATCAAAATATATTTTTTTTAAAGATACTATATATATATATATATATATATATATATATATATATATATATATATATATATATATATATATAATACTCTTAGTTTATTAATATGTCAAATAATCTAAGATAATAATCCCGCTGATCGATTTCGGCCACGGCTTCGAATCTCACCAGATGCGCAGGATATATTATAGTGCATTACCTTTACGCGCAGACACAATTGCACTGTCTATTTCTGTCACTCTTAAGAGTCCGATGGGACGATACTTCGATGTACAACCGGTGGGAGGTAAAAGCGCAGGACCGACGGCTTTACGTACTCTCCGAATCTCTGCTAATATGTTATCCTAACTCCGAGCTGTGTGTCAATGTGTAGTGAGAATTTTTTCACAGAAAAACTGAGTAACTAAATCTGACCCGACCCGAGACTCGTACCCAGGACCTCCAGATCTGCGGCCGTATATGCTGGTCACTATACCACCGAGACAATTACAATATATTATATGATAGGTAATGCAAATCTATGTTTAGTCACTGAGTTAAACAATATTTCATTTCATATAAGTAAAATAAAATAGTTTAAAAAACAACACCTTTTCCCCCAGAAAAGGATACAAGCTCATAAAAAGACTAAAGGTCAAATCTCTTGGCACATTTAAAAGTCCGTAAGTATCCACTCTATCTATTTTCTTCATTCATGGGTATTCCCCTCAAATTATTTTGCTCAATGTAATAAATTGCAATATATCTAGTCAATGGTTAAATTATAAATATCATAGCTTCTAATATAGGTTTAAAGCATATGTTTTGAACTGGCCGATACTAATAGACCTATTTATAAAAGTCAAGAAAAGTGCATTAATATTTAGGATTGTCATTACATATTATTACAATGGTTATTCAAACTTTTGTATTCCTTGATTTCGAAGCTACGGGACTACCAGAAAAGGAACAAAATCGTACGAAAGCAATAGAGCTGACCCTTTTAGCAGTATCGCGTTGTGATATCATAAACGCCGATGGCAGGAACATGCCACCACTGAAAAAACTCTCGTTTCGGTGCAACCCTCAAAGAAAAATTTCTTTAGAAGCTGCGACTTTGACAGGTCTAACAAACGACCTTTTAATTAATGAACCTATTTTCAAAGACAAAATTAAGTGTATAAATGAATTTCTTGATTTACCAGAACCAGTATGTCTTGTTGCTCATTCAGGTCACAAACTTGACTTTAAACTGTTGAGAGCTGAATATAATGACGCTGGAGCTAAATTGCCAAGTAAATTATTGTGTGTGGACTCATTTATGGTTTTTAAGAGTTTATCGTGTCTGGGTCATTTCAGAGTACGTAGTCTTGCTTTAAAAAATTTATACAGAACTTTCGTAAAGAAAGAACCTACAGAGTGTCATAAATCAGAAAATGACTGCATCATGCTATTGGAGTGTGTTATAGCGAAAAAGGATATTTTTTTGAAATGGGCAGATCATACTTGTAAAGGGATTAATCGAGTAATACCTTTGCGTGGAACATAATTGACGTGTTATAATTTTTATTTTATTATTTTCAATACTTCAGTGATCAGTCTGTCTTCATCCAACCTCAAGCCCATAGATTATACACTTATATACTGGTACCTCAAGCCTGTCTATGTCAAGACAATAATTATGTTTATTAGAAGGTATTTATATTATATAATATACTGATATAATAACAACATTAAGTACCTACTAATAAAAAAATATAACTCGAAAACTTTGCGCTGAATTTTTTTTGTGTGAATTGTACACATATTTGTAACATTGCTTCAATCAATTTAAGTTAATGCTTATAAAATATATTGAAATTTTTCTATCTGATTATGTAAAAATGTAGAATTAAAATAAAATAATAGCTTTATTTTGTATCTTTCCTCGTTTCTTTTCTAAATATAATATGTTATAAATTACTTACATGTTGTTTTTTTTTCATTGTAACATTTTTTAAATAACATAAATAGTAAATACATTTATTTAAAAGTTATATAAATTATTAAATGAGAATGTACACAATAATGGCACTATTATTATAAATGCTAGTTTGTAGTTTTAAAGTTTATGTGTGTGTGTATGCATATCTGTATTTTACACTTTCACGCTATAACCATTGCAGGCTATTGTTGGCATCCAGGAACACAGTTGAGCGAAGCGATAAGTAGTCACCAGAGACATAAACCCCTAAGGGTGATTAACTAATTAATTTCTAAGGTATTTTGTCTCGAAGTACTATACTATATTAGAAATGCATAATTCTAAAAAAGTATCAACTCCAATCTTTTATCCTTATGAAAAATTTAAATGTACTTATATTAAGTTATATTTGAAATATATGCCTAATTTAATATTTTTAAAAATATTAAAATATTCTTTTCATACCTCCAGCTCACCTGGCGGCAGAGCCAGTATTTCTGATTGTTTCCAAGAAATTATACAATAAACAATTAAAATTCTAAAACCTGTGAAATGGAAGAGACAAAGTCAATTTTTTAACTGGAGATGAAATCCAAAACTATTGTTTCAGATTTTGTCAAAATATAGATTGGGATGTTAGTGGATTTATCATTATATCATTAACTATTTAAACTGCATAAAGTATATTTTTTGAGATTTCTCAGCCAGAAATCAATTCACTGTTAAAAAACATATTTGCACCCATTAAAAGTATGAGATCTTGATCAAGTTGTGGTAAAAAATGACTATGACTAGAGACATATTATTATATGCCAGTAATAAAACCTACTTTTTATATCAGTATTAATAAGGAAATTGAATAAAGAAATATATTAATTCTTAATTTATTTTAATATAAGTAGGTAATACCTTAGTACATAAAATATATAATTTTCAATAACATTACAGCAAAAGCATTAACAGCTTATCTGATATACCTACAATTGCATAAAATAATAAGATTTTATGATTCTTTTGTAACAATAGTCAACATTTTAGCAGAAAGTTATATATCTTATATTTTTCAGGAAGAAAGTTATAATTACAAAACAACCATCCTTCAGTCTTCACCGCATTTGAGTAAAAAGTTTGTATAAGCAATGTCTTTTGTAAGACCTAACACCTTGGATATCACTAAATTGTTTGTAAACGTAGTTCATCATGTCTGTATTTAGTGTTAATTGTACCATCCCGTCTTCGATTCTTCTAATCCTTTCACCAAAGGTTGTCTGTAAGAGATTGCTCGTAGCAATAAGACCGCCTTTGCATGCCTATTTGTTATTTATTTTTATCTTCTGTACTCTTTTTTTTGTGTGTGCAATAAAGAATTTATCTATCTATCTAAAATTGTGCTGCAGCACCATTTACACTTACAAGGTGAATTATAATATATTATATTATTATAATCATAAAAAAATATATATAAAATATGTCAATTATCTACCTAAATAACATGATTTCTTTTAAAATATAAACAAGTGTATATTGCAACTATACTTTTAAAAATATATTCTTATAATATAACCAATATTTGTTTGTCTTAAACTTATATAACTAAAAAATAGGTATATATTCATTCCTTATTTTCTAGATAAAGGCTTTATCTCTTTAATGTATTTATAATTTTTATCAGCCCAATGTAGAAATTCTTGTTTAATTGCCAGAACACATTCTAACAGCATAAAACAATCCGCTTCTGCTCTGTGGCATTCTTTAGGTTCTTTTTTCACAAAAAAATTGTATAAATATGATAGAGCATAACTTTTTAATGGTTTCAATTCAATCTTCTTTGGAGTACTTGTTAATTTTGTAAAAGATTCTGACAACTGATCAATTTCTGTCCATTCCTCGGGAGTAATATCTAGTTCAGGCCAATCAAGCGTTTCTTGTGTGTGATTATGTGGTGTAATAGCATTTGGTGATAAACTTTGACAATTTTTTAATATTTCTCTAAAAGCTTTCATTGAATCAATGCAAAGTAAGTCATCAGGTAATGAGGCTTCAACATCAGCATATTCAGTGTTTAATATTTTAAAATCAAACCTGTCACCATTATGAGCAACAAGACACACTGGCTTTGGTAATTCAAGAAATTCGTTAATACACTTTATTTTATCTTTAAAAATAGGTTGATTACATAAAAAGTCGTTTGATAGCCCTGTGATCTTCACCACCTCCCATTGAATATTTCTTCTAGGATTAAAAAGAAATGAGAGTTTGCTAATAGGTGGTAAGGTACAATTATTAACTCTTTCAATATCCCTTCGCAATACAGCTAGGAATGTTAGCTCCGTTATCTTTGTTTGATTCTTTTCCTGTCCCGGTAATCCTGTGGTTTCCAAGTCAAAAAATATGAAAGTTTGGATAGCCATTGCAGTTTGTACCAAAGTAATTTTATGGACTGATTTTTTTATAAATACATTATAATTACTAAGCTTTGTATAATACACTAAATCGGCATTGAGAAATATAAATTCACTCTTTTATCACTCTTTAAAATATTACAAAACACAGTAGAGATTTTACAATATTGTCATCTCACATTTTTGGTCTCTTCTACATATTAATATTGAACATGATATAAAATATGACGAAGGGATACATAATATAGTATAGGTTAAAATCAAAAAATAAGTTTTATTGAAATGTCAAATAGGTAGGTACTTTTCAAACGTCAATACTCTTATGGAAATAAGACGTGACAGCAACCCACTGATTTTAGGAAATAAATACACTATCGAATTTCATCAATGTAGGAACGGTTTTTTAATTATATGGTTCATCTTATCATTTAGGCACCATCTAATTTAATGGGGAAGTTTTCTCGATACCCATGGCGGCACACTTATGGCCTATTTACATTCACTCCGAGGTTAGCAATTTATTGTGATATCTCTTTTATACCCGGTTTTTTGTCCATCATCATCTTACCTGTGCAATGAATTGTACCTGGAAATTAGACCAGCTGAAGAAAAAATTGAGAAGGAAAGAATTACCTGATGGATCAACACAAAGCCTACACCGCTGATCGTATAAATGTGAAATTTGGATATCGTATTCCTTATATGATATAAGAAAGGATTTTTCGAAATTCATCCCCTATGTGGGTAAAATAGGGAATTAAAGATTGAATGAATCTCTGTCATTTTTAATATGAAATACACAGAAAATTATTTAGTTTTAAAATATGAAATATATTTATTTGTTTTTCTGCGAAATTCATCCCTTAAAGAGATCAAAGGCGGTAATAAAGTTTATATGGGCAAAGAACTATTTACAATCAGAATTACTTGAAACTTGGTATTAATGTTCTTCAATACAATTAAATAAATACAAGTTTTAGCATTTTTCGAAATTCAATGTCATAAGGAGGTAAAATGGGAGATGAAAGTTTGTATGAAACTCTGTGATTAATATGTGAAAAAGTACAAATATATATATATTCTCTTGTAGATGATTTAAGAGTTTAAAAAAAAACATTCATTAAAATGATATCCACATAGCCTTAAATATGAAATTTGTGATTTCGCCAATTTTCGTCCCCATAGTGCTTTTGCCTACAACTACTTCAGTTTTTGTCCTTTGGGATCAAATGATATCCATTTTTTTTGCATCCTGGCACTGCACAATTTGTCATTTTAATTTAATTTTAAATAAAATATAAGAAATTCCATAAATGATATAGAGCTTTACAATATACTGAGGGCGATAGTGATTGCGACATCTGGAGGGAGAAAAAGGTAAAATTCTTCTCCATCGTTAATGCAAAACTACAGCTTGTGGTATAAAATCCATACCAATATTATAAATGTGAAAGTGTGTTTGTTTGTTTGTCCTTCTTTCACGACGAAACGAAGTCACGGGCGGCGTGATTTTTTGTGTTAAGATAGTTAGCTGGAGAGTGACTTAGGCTACTCTTTACCTCTGGAGATTATTTAATTCGCACGGGAAAATACGCTATAATACAATCCAAAAAAATATTTATGATCAGAATTAATTGATACTTGATATTCATGCTCTTGAATAAAATTAAATAAGCACGTGTTTTAGCATTTCTCGAAATTCATCCTATAGGGCAGTAAAATAGGGGATGAAAGTTTGTATGAGCGCGAGCGAAGCCGCGGGTTCTGCTAGTATATTTATAGACTACAAATATATTAAAATCATTTTAATTTCTCTATACTTATACCATTTTACGTTTCTCTATACTTATACCTATGTATGTATTTATAAATTTACTAGCGTTTAAAGGTTAATATAGGTTTCTCAGAGATGAGATACTTTCCCGCAGTATAAAAGTATCCTATAGTAGTTGACTCGGATAACCAGCATCATACTAAATTTCATGAAAAACTGTCCAGTAGTTTTCTCGAGATGTGTTCTTAGACAGACAGACAGATAGACAAAAATTCTAAAAACTATAGATTCAGCCACTGTATCGGTAATAATGTCAAATAAAAAAATCTAAAAATGTACAGATTCGACTAAAAATTTTCTTATAATATGTATTATAGATTTCATCATTGAAAAACAAAGCTAATCGTGTAACGCGGGTTTGTTAAAAACAACGGTGATCGCGGGGTATCGTGTCAGAACATGTATAATCCTGTCGAGCCGTGTTTTGGTGAGGCCGTATAGTTTCGATCGATCGAGAGATAGCCGACACTACATAATAACGATCCTCCACGAACGACTCTCATTTCGCGCACTTTAAAATATTATGTATCTTTTGTGTATTTGTATTTTAATAGACTGTGTGTACCTATTAAAATCATTAATATTTATTAAGCCTATTTGTATAATATCATTATTTACATTTATTATATAAATTTAAGTAATATTTATTATGAATTTTGTCACTTCTGAATAGATGTAAACGGAACTTATAAATGTAATATCTATCCCATCAAAAACATTTTAGTTTTTCCCAATATAGCAAGTTTTTAGAAGAATGAGACATTTTGACCTTGCAATATAAAAACAGTAACTTGCGTATAGCATAAAGAAGGTATTATAAGTAATTAGTCGAATATAAGATAAATTGTATGTAAAAACTAGCCAAGTCAAATCTTGAACTTCAATTTATCCTAAGTTATCTACTCTGTGTAAATATTTCGACTGTTCAAATATAAGAAATTCTATTTTTAAATAGCAAACACTTTTGAGGTAGACAAAAATACAAAAAAGTGTGTTTTAAATTTATTTTAGAATGTTGTATGTTCTTATGAAAAAAAATCAGGATTATCTACAGAACTTGGCACCTATTTAGATCTCAATTCTTTTGTCGGTGAAGTTGACTACCACGCTTACTCTTATTAATATTGAACTTGGCTCCTATTTTCACAGGTATGTTTTTGATGGAATATCATGAGTATTTGTAAAGAAATTATTATTATTCATAATTTCAAAGTGACATGTAAATTCAATATTTTTTCATAATTTTGCGACTATTCGTTAGTGGATACGGCGGAATAGGAAAATGTTATTTAATCATCATGGAACCTTTTCTCCTCAGAAAGAAAAAGTTTTTGCTATTACTATGATTGCTATAGCTATTATATTTTAAAAGGCACTAGGTGTTAAGCTATTGCTATTATGTTTTGGAAGGTACAAACAAGGTGTTAATAATTTTTTTTTTTCAAATTTAAAAAAAAATACTGTTTTGGGATTTTTCCTTTTGCATGCACACGATTACCCATTTGGACACCAAATTTTAAGTTTCTAGGTCATCTGGAAGTGGGTTAGGTTTTACTACTATTGTCAGTCAATGAAATAAATGCCGATTTTTAGACGTTAATATCTCAATAACCGTTTAAGCTGTATTTATGAAATTTGGGATTCTGGTTAATCTAAGGGGATTTAATAAATGAACCAAATTTCATGAGTTTATGTTAAATAGAATTTGAGGTATTACGAGGTGAAAAATGGCTCCAAATGGTTCGTGTAAATATACACACGGTGCTGCGTCGCCAGTTCTTTTGGCTTGAACTTGGCTGGACTCGCTAACGCGTGTCTTGATACGATGCGTTGCATTCAAGGCACAAATTAATTATTGTAAGTAGTGCGGCAAGATATTCAGTACTTTTATTTGTCATCCATGTTCAAAACGTACTAAATGAGATATAGCGATGATACACGATAGTTGATCGGAAGCAGACGAAGTCTATACTAACATTTTAGGTAAAGTTTGTGAGTTTGTGACGGTGTAGGGGGTACCTAATCTCTGAATCTACAGAACCGATTTAAATGAAATTTGGTAAGAAGATAGTTTGAGATCCTGGGAATGACATAGGATATTGTTTATCCCGGAAATCATCACTTAAGGGGGTGAAAATGGGGATGAAAGTTTGTATGAGAAAGCAAACCAGGGACGAACGGGAGCGAAGCGAGGGTGAGTCGCTAGTGTACTATAAAATATAAATTATATTTACGAAACGTGATAGGTTATATATATATATATATATATATATATATATATATATATATATATATATATATATATATATATATATATATGTGTATTAATAATTCTAACTTCTAAAACAGAAATTAAGTCGGTAACGTAAAACGTCGAACTTGCGCCAGAGCTTTCTTTGGTCGAGTGCGGAAGTTTCGTCCCGTCAGATATTGACAGAGAAAGAAATAGAGAGTACATGCTGTTTTTGCGCAGTATATTTATTGAATATTTTTAATTTTCTAAGAACGATGGATTGATGGGAAGTAACATGTCTTAGGGTTTTATGTTATTAACATTAAAAAATATGTTTTTATAGATACTATTTATTCAAAGTTACACTAAATAATTACATGATTAAGTAGAATATTCAATACTAAATACTTGTGACAGTCACTATTGTTTCAAGAATAGCTTATTACAAAGACATGTATGTATTTCAACAATTTATTCATGTTTTCCATGTATTGGACACTACAGTAAATAAGTTGCCATTCATTTTAATATGTTTAATATTATTCATTTTTAATTTAAGTTTTATCCCAACAGCATAAAGCTGTGCCAATCCCTATGAGGACTACTCCGAAACTAGAACCTGAAATTAAAATGAAACATTAGGGACTAAGTAGTTCCTACTAATTTTAGATAACTATGTGGCAGCAGTCACATACAGACATACAAATCATCAAACATTCCGTTCCTTTTTTTGTTGCATGACCTTATAATATATTAATATAATAAAAAATCGTAGATTCTAAGTTTGTATGTATGTGGTAATATATAGAAAATACTGTATATTCTTTCATTAATAGCTACATTACCCCCGAGAGCTATATATATATATATATATATATATATATATATATATATATATATATATATATATATATATATATATATATATATATATATGTATTGTTTTTTATTTAGATAAAAAGTTGTTTGCTGTGAGAAAATATCATAGTAACTTTAATTGTAGTCGGAAAAAATCTGGCTGTTGAATTGCTTTAACGGCGTGCTCTGTCTAAGCAGTTAAAAATCTATACAAATTATCTATACCTACGGATGAATAAAATTGAAGTGTCTATTTTTCAAGTCTATTGCGGCTAATCTCCGAAACGGCTGGATCGATTTTGACAAGACTTTGACTGGCAAATAGCTGATGTTATAAGGACTAACTACTTTTATTTCAAAAAAAATCCACGCCCAAAACTTAAAACCATGAAATTGTGAAAAAATCGATATCTAGGTGACGCGAAGCGAGGAAATCACTAATAAAATGTATGGCGAAAAGACACCTAGCACCCTAGCGAAATAAGAGTAAGTCGTTGCGTGCGTGAATAACGCAAATGTAACTTTCATTGTGTAATCTGGACTTATTTAATCAATAATATTGCATCAGTAATAGATGTCGATAAATTATTTATAGATAAAAAAACTACAAATCATCATTTATATTCTAAGTAGAACGTCTTGAATTGAGTATCGGCCTATTTACACGACTACTTTTTAATGCACCATTTCTGTGTCTGATGTGTGAGTTTTTGACGTGAGTTCCCTATTGAAAAACTCCTTTTGCGTCTTGCCAAGGCAAGACTTCTAGGCAAGAGCCTTTTGTCGGTGTTGATGAGATCCTATTGGAGTTTTTCAATATGGTTCAACGCGCAGTAAACGTATTTCCAACACGCGTTTGTATTGATACAAAGGCAAACCATCTGTTTCTTTTAAAATCAACGCAGAATGTACGCTGGGTACCGTCATGATACGCGTATTGTCGAAGCATTTAAGACACGTTGTGAGCATAAGTTAACTAAGGGCCTCATCGATCAAAAAAGTATTAGATAGGTACACAATCCAATGCAAAAGTTCTGTTCAAACTGTCACCAGTTGTGTTAAGGTAATTATTCTAGTTGAATTAAATATATAACAATGTAAATTGAACCTTAAATACAATGCTTAAAGTTGTTTTCACAAAAAATTAATAAAAGCGCGCTCAAATATTCAAAAAGAGCGCTCATTCGGTAAGGAGTGAGGACAATTTTTGTTACTGATTGTGTATCTAGTATGTTTTTGATCGAGACGCGTCTTTTATAAAACTTGGTGTGCATGCGTCCTTAGATTTTTGGCAGTACCTCCATCTAAAGGTTCTTCTGCGCCTATGGCAGCCCCAGTGAGTGCTGTGAACGCGAACGCTAGACTGTTGGCGGCTGGCACGGCGAGTGATAGTGGCACTTGTTGCACCGCTATCAAATACACCAGCGAACCACTTTGGTTTATCAACCACGGAACCATGTACTGAAGAATTGAAATGTATTGTATAGTATTTATATTAGCAAACTGTCTGTCTTGTGTCTTGTATATACTACTACGGAGATCCTGGGTTCGAGTCCCGGGCGCTAATCCTGAGCTGGAAACTTAGCAGTATTTCACCAACTCGCCTTCCAATAGCCGTCGGTCCTACGCCTGATCTCTCACCAGTCATGACGAATTATCTTTACGCACTATAACATATCTTGCGCAGTTTTACTGAAGTGGCCGTATCAGATCATATTATATGAAAAGTAATTGTTATTATTTATATTATATTATATATATAATTTAACTTGACTGACATCAAAAAAGAGAAGGTATTCAATTGTTATAAACATATTGACACGATATTATCTTCGGTCATTAATGCGAATCGATTTTCATCATTCCTTTTTTCGCAATAAAATTACACTGAACAGATTTCAATAAGAATCTTGCATTGTACAGTTAGTAGTATAAATCAAACGTGTAGTTTTCTTTCAATTGAATAACACCTCCAGGTAAATTTCTAAGAAATTAATAAAATTTCTAAGAACTCTTTTGTTAACTGTAACGCGGTTGTGGAGGGATTAAGAGTTTTGCTACTTATACATGGGCAAAGCCTTCATATAAGCTAGAAACAAGAATTTGAAAATATGTATTCCATATTTGGTAATCAAGAGCCATTAAAGTAATAATTTTGCAATGAAATTTACTAATTATATCAATTAAAATATTGTACCTTCCAATTTCCTAACAAAAACATGGTTTCTGCGTAAGCGAGACCCAGAATGGAGTCGGCCCGAACTTTACACAATCCCCTAGTGCCCTGTCGGATAAATGGATTCGTGCAACCCCATAGAAGTCCCGTCAGTAAAAGTAAGCCTGCAAATAATAAGACATTTATTCAAAAATGGACTACGTATCTCATCAATTCGGCACAGTCTAAGGTGGTCCCTAGACCTACAATAATATCTATACATATAATAAAATTGTAACTAAGCCGAATCTGTACATTAAATATTTTTTGGAAAATGTTATTGAAATAAACATTGTTATCGATACAGAGGCCGAGTCTATAGTTTTTAGAATTTTTGTCTGTCTGTGTTATCAGATCACAGAAAAACCACTGGAGGGATTTTGATGTTTGGTATGATGATAGCTGGTTATCCGGGTCAACATATAGGATACTTTTTACCGCGTGAAAATATCTCATTTTTGAGAAAAAATACAAAAACTGCAATGTAAGAGTATACTAACATGTAAAACCTAAGAATGTGGATTTTGGTCATCTGAACGTGGGCGAAGCCGCGGGCAATGCTAGTTGTACAATACATTTTATTGTACAATAAGATTGAAAGGCACTTTGGATCTAAACGATCAATTATATTGCACAATAATATCATCTGGGATCCATCTCTGCATATCAAATTAATAATTTTATATTATAATTATTAAAAGTAAATTAGATTTTTTATTATTATAACAAAAACTACAGGAACACAATGAAAAATAAACAAAATATAAAAATACTTTATTTGAAATGTACATTTTAAATATTTATAAACATATTGTTTCATATAAAATTAATTCAATTAAATAGCTTTTAAAGAATGATAATAAAGTTTTACACTAAAAGTTAATTATTTTGTATTGCAAATATATTGTCTTTAAATATATTTAAGAAATACATGATTATTGAATAAAAGTATCATGATTTAATATTTACGATTTAGAATCCTAGTTGTACGCCTACTGTCATAGGTTTGACTTCGGAAAATTTTTGACAATTCTCCTCCATCCATTGCACAAACTTTTCACCCAAAGCCACAGAGCATTCCAACATTAACAAACAATCACCTTCAGCTGTATGTGAATCTTTAGCGCAACACCCAAATAACCTATTATAAACATCTGTTAATTTATAACTTTTTCGAGGCTGATCACCTTTACTCCATGGAAGTCTTCTCCGAGCCTTAGAAACTCTAGTCATTTTTAATGAATTATTATTATTAATAATATTTTTTGGAGTACTCTCATTTATAGATTGCATGTTAGGAATGTTATCATTATTTGGTTTTTCTTCATTTGTTTCCTGCAATATAGTATCAGATGTACAAGCCATTGAATTTTGAGACTTCTCTATGGTGTAAAGTATATCATAATAGCAGAAAAAACTGTCCGCACACATGACTTCCTCTGGAAGTGTAACGTTAAGATTATCTAATTGCCTTTTTAATATGGGAAAATCAAACCAGTTGCCATTGTAAGCGACTAGGCATATGGGCTTTTTTAGTATATTCAAAAATCCATTTATCACCCTGAAGGCATTTTCATTAAATGGTGATTGGTGTTCCAAAAGATCATTGTTTAAGCCAGTGATTGTAGTAGTCTCATCTTGTATCATTTTTTGAGGATTCAAGCACAATGTCAGTTTGTTTTGAACTCTAGGAACTTTTTGCTCCGGTGAGTCGAGTAGGTGCTCCTTCTTTACAGCGACAAGACTTAATTCGGTTATTTTTGTCTTATTATGTTCTTGACGAGGTAATCCCGTGGTTTCCAAATCGAAGAACACGTACGTAGCAATCGCGTTCATTTTTACTGTGAGGCTAAGTACTAAAATGTATAGAAATAAGGGAAAAACGACGTGTAAATATTATAATTATCTTACCTAAACTGGAATACATGACTCAGTGACTGATGATTGATAAATCGCAATGATAAGGATGCACAATGCACTTGAATTTTTGAACTGTTTTTAATAGCCTATACAAATGTATGTTAGTATTATTTTTAAATAAATTAGTAAACATTCAAAATGACATAAGAAATAAATCAATACCAATTAAAGATGTGTCAACTCGAGTTACTAACTTGAGTTACCTCGAGTTGAGCTTAACTCGAATTAACCCGAGTTGAATTCTCTCTGACTCGAATTGGATTTGCGTGGTAAATGAACGAATCAAGCGAGTACGCGATTGACCTTACGCAAACGCGGCGACTCGTTCGTTGTGTTCATGTTTTGTACAGTCATCAGCACTTCAGACTATACATTTATGTTGCAAAATCGCTCCTATTCCAACCGAATAAGATGCCACAGTATTTAACTTAATCGCTGTCGTCCGTACTCCCGTCATAGCGTTTCAACCGAATGATAGCGTTATAAATATCTATACTAATATTATAAATGTGAAAGTATGTTTATTTGTTTGTCCTTCTTTCACGTCGAAACGGAGTAACGGACTGGGGTAATTTCTTGGGTGAAGATAGTTTGATTAGTTGGAGGGCTGGAGAGTTGTATAGACTACTTTTTACCGCGGAAGATTATCTCATTTCCACGGTGAAACTCGTTATAATACAACCCAAAAAAATATTTATGATCAGAATTATTTGACACTTGGTATTAACGCTCTTCAATACAATTAAATAAATATATGTTTTAGCATACTTCGAAATTTATCCCGTAAGGGGGTAAAATAGCGGATGAAATTTTGTATAAAACCTACCTTTTTAGTGTTTTTTTCGAGTTTTAGCGCGAGCGAAGCCGGGGGTTCTGCCAGTAATAATATAAATAAATAAATATAAAAAATAAATTAAATGTGGCACTCGGAGACTGCCGCGGTAAAGCTATTGCGTAGCATTTTTTATCAACTTATGCAAGCTTATTTTAATATCAAAAATTTTGGTTATCTTTATAGCAGTATTATATATAAATTAACAATACAAAAAATAATACTGCATTTGTGATAATAATAATAAAATGAATGTATATAGAGTACCAACTCATTTTCTTTCACTATTTTTTCGTGACTTTCTTCATTAATAAATGCACTTTCTTTATTCATATTTAAAACACTTTGTACACAAATTATACGAGTACAGATATTCACTGTTGTAAATAGATGATAAATACCTATACACCTATATACTTTCTCACAAACAGCTTGTTTAGTATAAGAATAAAAATAGTTTATATGTTTTCAACTAGATGGCGTAACCGGTTCTCTGAATCACGCTATGGTTTGGTTCTGCTAATTACTATAAGTAAAATCTGTTTGGTGAATTAATTGTTTTCGCATTCATAAAGTTGTTTAACTGTGACTCAATTATAAAAGTGGTTTAGAAGATTATACAACTGATTACGGTAGTTTTCCAATACAACCAATGCTACCTAAAGGCCGGTTGCTGAACTAAAGAGACAAGCGTGATATTTCAAAAAGTCATTAATAGTTCTGGTATTTATTGATAGATGGAAAAACTAAATAGTAGACTTGCGCAAAACAGTGCTTTAAAATGTAATGTAATATTTTACATTACATTTCGACGCCTCCCACGCATTAGGTCGTAAGACCATAATATGTATTTTTTCTCAAGGTGTAAAAGTAACGACAAATAGCGTACCCGTATGCATTCGTTACTATAGCATCAGTACTCGTTACTTTTGAATCGTTACTCGTTACTTTTGATACCCGATAACATACTCGTAGAGCATCGTATCGAGTCGTGTTGCGTATGTATTGCGTACGGTATAAATTATACGATATACCGTATATCGTTGACGTCGCGTTGTTTTCTGTGGAATAATGCACGATCAACAAACCATTTCAATAGGAGAGTTACATGATATCCAGAACCCGTAAATTTTGATTATTTATAAATCTATATAATTTTTAAAAACTTTACTAACAATATTTTTATATTAATAATTTTTGAAATTAAATAATAAATATAAAAATAGGTAATTTAAAAATGAATAAGTAACGGCATCTATCACGTTAGTGTGACGTCGTAATGCATATTTTATTTAAAATCAATTGCGCGAATGATTTATCAAATCATAATCTGTATGTATTACACATAATCACATGATCATGTCTCACGTAGGATAAATAGATAATTATTGTATTACAATATTGTACACAATTATTATTTTAAAAGAGCCGTTGTTGAGTTTCTCGCCAGTTCATCTCAGCAGAAAACTTTATTCCGAGCCGGCGGTAGTTCCTAACGGACTAACATTTAATTTTAATTTAAAATGTAAAATTGACGATTTAAAAGAGCTTGTAAAAGTTTATTTGAATAAAGTATATTTTGATTTCATTTGACATAATCATTTAGTAAAAATTATAAGTATTTGTTGGATAAAAAACTAAAAATGTGTTCTAAATATAATGGTTGTTTCTAATTGAAAATTGTTTCTAAACAAAATTTCTAAGATCTGGAAATCATGCAACTCGAAATAAATAAATAAACTCTCTAATTTACTCATCAATGGTTTTAAGTATTAACTGAAAGTTGTATTTTGCTGAATAAAAAATCAATAAAAACATTAGTACGAAAATATGTACGGAAAATGCGAGTAACGAAATGCATTCGTGAGTAACGTTTCGGTACTCGGTACTAGATGGCGTACCCGTTACTCAGTAACGAATACATACGGTTTGCTACAGCTCTAATTTTTTCAGGAGAGACATTTTTATGAACATTATTGTTATAATTGATTTGTGAAACATTTTCAACTGGTGTTTTTGCACTATATTATCAATAATTAGTTTAAGAATATTATACCAGGCTCTGCGTGTTATAAAAAAACAAATTTACACAGAAATAGCCAATTTTAATTACATACGACCTTATACTGGTTGCAAAAACGTCGTATCTTATTGTTACGACCTTATGCTTCAAATCAGATGGATATAGACAACGCGTAAGTTTAAATTACGACTTTATGCTGCGTGTAAACTCATCTTCATATCTCTGAAAAAAGGGTCGTATGGAGGTAATCGATGAAAAAAAGCATGACAAGTTTTAGTTTAAATCAACTTTATTAAAATAACTTTATCGTAGGTATATTATTCAGTCCCCTTGCATCATTATGATCATTATATTAATGACTTATTTAAACTTTTATAAAAAAAACATAAATATAACTTTTTAAGAATTAAACAAAACTAAAGGCACTGGCTTATGGCATTTAAAAGTAATCAAAATTATATAACTGGCATTAATCAGTCTTTTAAAGTCTCAGATTAGTTATTTGGGTTTATTAATACAAATAAAAATAAATAAAAAAAGAATAATCTGCACCTTGTAAAATAATACAAAACATAGGTAACTAATAATTATAATCAACTTACACAAAATTAAAAAATAATGATCTCTTCAAAATTAAAGATTAAGTAAAAACTACTTAAAATGAAATACTTAGTTATATTGTTCGTAATATTTATGACAGTATAACAACGGATAACAAAATGTAATCAAAAAGTAATCCAGATAAATAGCTTCTGTTCTGCAAAAATTATGATATTATATATGATATCATATATGATATTATACATCCTTGACAAAGAATTAATAAATCTTTAAATTTTGCTAATGTAATAGGTAAATGGTCAGAGTAATATGGATTCATAACTTCTGTATGTAGAAGATCATTATGTTTTCTTCTTGAAGAATAACGATTCTGCCTTTTTTAGTTATTAAGCTCATAATATTACACATATATCACATGACACTACCTGAACTTATCTAAGTTTGGTCCATGATATTTTTTGATATTTAGTATTTTTAGCCCAATTTCTACCTTCCAGTAAAATTTTATAGTTATAAAAATCTGTAACACTCATTTCAATCACATTATAATTAGGAGGGTTGACTTTTGACCATCTAACTAGGCAAACCAATTGCAGGGCTCCAACCAGTCTTTGCTTTTTTAACTATATTAGCTTATTTTTAGCGTTTCTTTTTATTAAAGCATGAACGACGTCACTCTCTAAACCTATGAATTAAGGTTATACTATACTTCTTACCTACATAGCTATAAAATGCAAATACAATTTGATTTCGATTTTGACCGGTACAATTATGGGATCAAAACTTGAATTCTTTAACACCATCATTTACTTTGGTCTTAATAAATTTCACATGACCCGTGCTTGCCTTTATTTTCGGGCCACATGTAAGCTTCTTCTAATTTACGACACGTTTGACTCAGTTTGTAGTGAACCTACTTGCAGTGCCAGCGGCCGCGGGTTCGAGCCTCGCTGGGGGCATTCATTTGTGTGATGAGCACGAATGTTTGTACTGCAGTCATGGGTGTTTATATTTATAATATGTATTTTAAGTTATATATGTATAGTGTATCAACTATCTGGTATCCATAACTCAAGCCTCGTAGCTTACCATGGAACGGGATAGTGCTGTGTGTTAATGTCTTAACATATTTATTTTATTTATTTATTCTTGACTAGTAAGATCAAATACGATAAAGTTATAAATTGACAATTTTCTTTTATAATACATTGGCCTACGTTACCGTGAGGATAGTTTAAAATCTTTTGGAAATCGAAACACGCAGTAATTATTTTTCTTTTACTTTCTAAAGCTTATTTTTTATCTCTTGCCTTAATTTCTCTAGCTATAGTCTTGTTTCTCATATGATTTTCTTGGTTTTGCTTTTCTTCTATAGTGATTACATTTTTTTTGTGTTATATATAAGACATTCGTTACATATGTCCTTTTTCGGTTTATGAAATGAAATATTCAAATTTTGATTTATGATATTACGGTACTGTCTAACTGTCTTTGCTTTTTTAACTATATTTATTATTTTCAGTAGCGCACCACTTATTGTACAAAGAAAACATTTTTGTAAATGTAAGATCGCTGTCCAGGTAAAGCTTAGTGATTCCTGTGTAATTTCTTCAGCACATGGTCCTAGATCCATACATCTAGCAGGGTTTTCATTTGACGTAAAAGGAAAATTGCAGTTGAACTGATACTATTTAAATTGATAAATGTTGCCTTGTGAATACTTGGTATAGAACTCCCACTGTTCACAACAAATCTCACAGTTGTTCAGCTTTAAGTGGCACCGATGATTCTGAAAACAAAACTATATTAATAAAAGACTTGGTACAAAATACACATTAACTATAAAATATAACTTATATAATAATGTAACTGCAAGTCTTTTATTCCTCTAAGGGTTAGACAAGCCTGTATAATACATACATACACATTTCACCAACCGTGCCTTTAACCGGGCACAATTTTTTACGCCTCTTAGCTGTTTCACTTACGAAGAGCCAGCGAGGCAGATAAAAGCCAGAAATACAATTTTAATGATATTTATAGCTATATTTAATAATCAAAAAAATGTAACTTTATTTAGCAACAAAGCATAAAGTCTTATGTCTATGTTAAGTCTTTATACGTTCATTTTACTTTAAATTGCAACCACGCATATGGTCGTAATAATAAGTTACGACTCCTAGAGTAAAATTATTGCGTAGTGTAAGGTCTTAACTGACCACTGCCAGTGATTGTTAACGCTGCATACAGTCGTAACATAGATATACAGACGTTATGCGCCGTAACCGTAATTTTATTTATCGTTGACAATTGAACGCTATCACATATTAATATTATTTATTCCTACGATAATATGGCATAGTAAAGAAGTACATTTCACTACACTTTTCTAAGATGTTCACCGATCGTTATTACTTCGCTGTTTGGGTTTAACTTATTTAACACTAATTTAAAAATCTTTGACGAACGTACGTTACTCATTTCTGAAGTTTATAATTGTATTGGTCTTAATAATAATAAAAAAACAACAACAACACCACATAAAACTTTTGTTCAATATTCTTTTCAACATACCAAATTGTGACAGCGATTGTGTCATACGACGTCGTTACTGTGGTCTCATTGGCATGTGCGCGGCCCAATATACCGGTGCACATCGTCGAAACTAGCGGCACGACTGTATGCGCGAGAGCGTTCAAATGTTAAGACTATTATCAATTTTAAAACTCACTATTTATATGAGATATTAATTTTTTGAATTCACGAATATTTAATATGGTATAATATGGTTCCAATGGGACAAAAATATCATTTTACTCAAAAAATGAGTTCCGACTTTATGCGTAGGAGGCGTCGATTTCGTACTGAGTAATATGGCATTACACCATCACACCGAACACTACCCGAAATGTGTACTGTTCGGCGTGAGATATTTCTAATGAAATGTTCTATATCACGTAATTTTCATCACACCAAACATTACATGAGATTTTGTACTTAGTATGTTTAAGTGTACTGTTCAGTGTACTACGTATCAGATCAAACATACAGTCACTTTAGCATAAAAAAGGGTAAATGAGAGGTGGAAACTGGCTAAAAATTCATAATATTTGTATTTTTTTTTTATTTTCTAAAAGTTTGTTCTAAAATTAGCTTTGATTTGTAAAAAAAGTTGATTTCCCTTCATACTTAAGTAAACCTCAAGGAAAATTGGGATTTTTATTCCAGGCTTAGGACTGGCAATACTATATATTATAATATAATTTTATTTTACTTTTACTATATATTATATATAATTTTATTTTTACAAGCAACGTAAACAAACAAAACATTTTAATAAATGTAAAAGCAGAAATTTGAACTCGAATTTTAGCGGCAGTCAAATGCGTAACGCATTATTAAAAAGTATTATGTACAGTGTTGTGCTATAATATTAAGTGCCTTAGTTTTGAGTTTTCTTAGATACGATTCATATTTCACTTAAAAAATGACGGAAACCCGCCACGGCTCAGTAGCTCGCTCTCACTCATACTAACGAAAATAATGTACAGCTAGAGAGTGAGAGCATGACTGGTTGCAATAGTGCGCCGCGCATCACCGTGTCTCACTCAGTAAGTGCAGTTAGACAGAGCAAATAGATAAAAAATCCGACATTCCGACCGAACAGAGCGCGTAATGTCAAGTGTGATGTGTAATACTCACAGAGTACATTGTAATAGTAATACATACTTCATTTCGTCGCGTAATGTGTGATGCTATATTTCATGTTCGGGTAATATCACGCGTAATGTATCAATTGCATTACTTACACATGTCTACTAAAAAGTATCACCTGTGCTCTGTAGTCTGTGGTATCACCGCTGTGCCGGTCGGAGTGGGGGTGTCAGATTTTTTCGTTACGGAATTTCTGTATTCGGTCCCCACGCTCAAGGCCCGCGATAAAAGCTATGCAATAGCTTAAAAATATAAATAATTATAATTGTCCCAATAAATATTTATTTAGTATCTGTACCATTTTTTTAATATAGTTGCGAAGCCGAGTCATTAAATTGGTACAAACAAAACAAATCATTCACTTCATTTTTCATCCAGTTAACTCGAGTTACGTAGCTTGAGTTCAACTCGAGTTACGTGAATTTCACCTTGAGTTATATTTTTTCCGAGTTGGAACATCACTAATATACCAATGAGATATTGACAAATGAGTAATGACAACAACACTCAACAGTCAAGAATTATTGCTGTTATCACAGGAGTTATTTGACTTACTTTCTTTTACAGCATCGCACGAAAGTATTATGGAGTCAATGAAGCGAACTGCGAGTTTATTTCTTAATTTGGTTTTTGCCAAATTAACTTTGCTGAACACTCTTTCACAATCAGCGTTTGCGTGGGGTAAAACCAGGCAATCAAGAGCAAATTTGGCAATTTTTGAAAAGGATAGTTATGAGACATATCACACCAAGCGCCTAGTTTTGCCCAGAATACGTCTGGTCTCTTTTCCGTTGTTACTTATATTTTCATAAAACCTTAGGGGTTGTCCATTAATCACGTGAGGCTTGAAAGGGGGGGGAGGGGTTTGATAAAAATCACGAAAATAACACAAGGGGGAGGGGGGGGGGGGTGTGTAGTAAGATATCTCGTGTATTTATTTTTTCGTCAAACACCTGCAAGACGCTTATCCAGTTGTTAGTGTTGAAGAATGTCTTGCTAATCCGTGGTTCGAGGACAATATACATTAAATATATTCATGTACTAGTACAATACATGTTTTTCCTATGATTACACTCTTCGTTTATTATCATTGTTATGGCAATAAAAAAAAACTTGCAACCTGGTGTAGACATTTTTATTATGGTCCTTAATTTCAGAATAAAATAAGATTATAGTTTAATACAGTACAATAAATACAGGTATTTAAATTAAGATAATATTCAGAAAATTTTAAGATTCGTTGTAGGTACTAAAAATACACGTGATGTTGAGAAGGGGGAGGGGGGGGGGGTCTTAAACCTCACTACGTATCACCAATGGGGGAGGGGGGGTTAAAAAATGCTAAAAAAAGATCACGTGATTAATGGACACCCCCTTATTTGTGGTAGGACCCGCCATTGAACATCAATAGTTTGCATTAGTTTGATGTCTTGTATATCAATCACTCTCGGAAAGCTTGAGGCATCAGGCAATGGTGAATAGACAGAATGGTAGGATTTTGTTCTCGCACAGATTGACTCAAAGCATTTTTAGGGCTTAATAGATTAATTTTTATAAGCGCCTCGTTGTTAAAATTCCATCTTTTTTTAATTTGCATAGCAGATTTGACAAGAAAATCTTTGCACCTATTCAAAAATTCTTTCCGCCTAGTAATGTCAGCCTTTATTACCGGAGTGTTTATTTTTGCTGCTACACCGATTCCTAGGTAGAGAAGCTCGTTAGGTAAGTGTCTTGTTTTATCGTATGGATTGATATCATTTATGGTTCTTTGGTTAACGTGTCTCCGTTCCATAAACACAGCAAAAATTCCATGTACAATTTCTTTACTCTTGCATCCAGCTCTGTTACCACAACTTCTGACTGAAAGTATTCGTTGAAAGTTGTAAACTTGGGTAGTACCCATACTAGAAAATAAAAATATAGTTTCATATATGGATCCAGAAGCAAATCAAGTATTGCTTGCCCTGACAGAGATTGTTCTGACAGTGGCATGTTGGTGAAAAACAATTTCAAAGAATCCCAATTGCTTAAAACACGTGCCACTACTTGCTGAAGTGACAGCCATCTTGTTTGTGACGGGTGCAACATTTTTTGTGGCTTGAGATCTAAAAAGTCTTGAAATTGCTTCAGCGCTGCTGATCGTTTTGAGCTATTGTGAATAAAACCAAATGTTCGCATCTATTTGGTAGTTTTTGACATGCTGCACTGGCGTAGAGATGTGCGGAATGACAAATGCACTTCAGTATTATAATATCAGGACAATCTTCTCTGAACCTGCATGCCACAGAGTTTTCGCGTCGCATCATTACATTACAGCCGTCTGAGCTGAAACCAACAATGTTTTTTAAAGGGATACCGTGATCCGTAAAGCATTTTTTCAATTTAACATATATATTTTCTGCTGTTGCTCCTTCGTTTACTGCCCTGGGATCATCAGAGCTGAAAATTTCGTGCATATTCCAGAATTTGCTCTCAATACTACCTGAAGTCTCGTCGAAGAACCGTACCACTACACAAGACACTTTTGTCGTAGAAATATCTATCGATTCGTCTGTCATAACGCTGAACTTAGACGTTTTTAATTTGTTCACTAATTCTTCTTTGTGCTCTGGACCGATGCCGTTATATATGATTTTTGCAGTCTTTTGTCGTGTAATAGTAGTTTTTTTTCAAAATTTTTGAATCTGTAAAACATTCTTTTAACACTTTGCCGAGGTGGTCAGCAGCATAAAAGCTATATTATGTTCTGCAAAAAAAGCAGCAAGCTTGACTTCAGCTACTTGCGCCAACTTAACAGTGTTATTTTCCTTAGAAGTACCTACTTGGTGATGAAAAATAAGACGTCACCGGGTTTAGCGTACGGATCGAATATAAATTTTTCTCGTGTTTTTCCCCCTCAGAATGAGTCGATAAAACATGTTATGCGGCCATAATTGAAACATTAGATACTTTACATCGTGCTTTGAAGTTATCTTCAGGATCACGAGTAAGCCACTTACTAAATTTTGGATTACTCTCCCATTTGACTCTGTATTTTTGTTGTCTATGTTCTTCCATCACTTTTAAGTCTTTGGCGTCGAAACACTACACTTTTCTTCGCCCGCACTTTCACTCATAATTACAAATTGCGACTACAAAATAGTTTATTCTCAAAATTGTCAAAGCGTAAGAAACAATAATATACACACACTACAATATTGTACTAGTATATAATAATCTATCTATACTGCAACAATTCACTGCCAAGTTTTGTACTTAGTCAAAATATTGCTATGAACATAATATCGTCTCTCTCGCAGTCATTAGGAGTGAGTGATACGAATCGTATATAGTGTTTGAAACTATATATTGTATCAATATCGTATATCTCTATAATAATTGTAATGTGTTTATCACTCTATGTATGTTTGTTCCTATGTGACGTTCTAGAGACCAAACGCGTGGTCCGATTTTGATGATTCATACCGCGTCGTTAGATGCGTCTTGATGTCATTCTATACTTGTATACTAATATTATAAAGAGGTAAAGTTTGTGAGTTTGTGAAGTTGTAGGGGGTAATCTCTGGATCTACTGAACCGATTTTCAAAGTTCTTTTACCAATAGAAAGCCACGTTCTTTCTGAGTGTCATAGACTATATTAACCCGAAGAATGAATAGACTGTTTCATGGTAGTCAGATTTGCAAAGTGGGAGAAAAAACGGTCGAACGAAAACGTTTCTTACGAACGCTGCCTTAAAGATGAGAGATATATGATTATGTTCTAGAGAAAAGTTGTAGAGCTTAATAATGCCTACAAAAAAGTCAGCGACAGCATATGTCTAACTTTTATATTTATGTCACAAAAAGTAGGTTTTTATATTAAAAAAATCATTTAAATCGGTAGGTCATGTTTATTGGTCATATTATCAACAATTATGAATTCATAACAAAATAAGTAAATTTATCGTCTAAAATGTTTAAAACAAAAGACTTTACCTTTTACTGCATATAATTTGGACAAACGGTTAAAGAGATAATACAACATATTCGTAGGCATGGAACCGCGACCGTGTCGTAATCTATTGACTGATATTTCAATAACATGGTTTTTTTTCTTATATAATACTAATACTATACGTCAATCTATCTATATGAATAAAGTTATGTAAAGGTAAAGTTTATGAGTTTGTGACGTTGTAGTGGTTGATCACTGGATCTACGAAACCGATTTAGATGAAATTTGGTAAGAAGATAGTTTGAGACCGTGGGAAGGATATAGGATACATTTATCCCGGAAATCTATATATTACATATTTTTATCCGAATTTTTATATAATTTTATCCCGGAATCATCCCTTAAGGGGATGAAAGTTTGTATTAGGAAGTAAGCTAGGGGCAGGGACGAACCCGAGCGAAGCGAGGGTGAGTCGCTAGTAGCTATATAAAAATAGTTTAAAATGAAAATGGCGGATTTCAGGTGCCAATTTGTGTCTTCCAAACCAATCGGGTGGGGTATCAACATAATGGTTTTTAAAAGGCGATTAGAAAAATATAAACAACTTAAAAGTAATTAATAAAATAATGCTAAATATTACTTCAAATGCCCAAATGGAAAAAACTAAAAAGCTGTAATTAAAAAAATATATTATAAAAATAAAAAAGCCAGCTGTATAAAAGCTTACTAAAAAGATGAAAAAAAATCTATACGTATAATAAAATTGTAACTAAGTCGAAACTGTACATTAAATATTTTTTGGAAAATCTAATTGAAATAGACATTATTATCGATACAGAGTCCGAATCTATAGTTTTTAGAATTTTTGTCTGTCTGTTACCGTATCACGAGAAAACTAATGGACATATTTTGATGAAATTTGGTATGATGATAGCTGGTTATCCGGGTCAACATATAGAATACTTTTTACCGCGAGAAAATATCTCATTTCTGAGAAAAAAAAAACAAAAACTGCAAAGAAAGAGTACACTAATATGTAAAACCTAAGAATTTGGTTTTGGTCATCTGAACGCGGGCATAGCCGCAAGCAATGCTAGTGTATATTTTTTTATGGATGGATTATATATAAATAAAATCTACACCAAAAAGTAACTTTTAAATTATTTTAAGGTATAATCAAAATTTGAGATCTTAATCTCAAAAAAAAAAAATATTATTCGCTTTTTTTTCCAGTATTGTTATCGTTTTTTTTTCCAAATATTTATAGGCAAAAACCAACTCTTAAGTTCAAGCAACAGAAAACTCTGTGGATGCAGATTCAGTGTGCTTATCCAGCTAGGCCCTTTCTACTAAACATAAAAGGCTATACATAATTTTTTTAGTTTAGACAATAATAAAGTTATAAGGTTTAATTAAAAAACAAGTATAAAGATTTTCTTTTATTTCCAATTTAATGTCATTAAGTTAACTCTAAAATCTAAGACTATAATAAATAACGAAAATACAATTCAAAAACTGTGTGAGTAAAAAGTCTTAAAAATTCTAGTGAGTGTTGTCTTACATGAAACTATAAAATTTTGTTTACTAAATAATATAATAACATGTAATATATTAATATTCAGTGATACAATATTACAATGTTTGTTTTATTTATTGTCCCAATGTTATTAGAAATACTATCCTAATCACACAACCATATTTCAATTACTTTATAATTTATATATATATATATATATATATATATATATATATATATATATATATATATATATAACTAGATATGCAAAATGTAGTAAACACCAGCTAAAATAACAACTATTATAGATAAAATAGGAACCCAATATTTCTGTATTAGACTTCTATCATCTTTATTCACAATTAATTTCTTCTCCTTATATTTCTTTTTCTTTCCACTCAACTTCCATTCATACTCTTCTAACTCTTTACGATTTCTCTCTTCTTCTAACTGCTTTAATCTCTTTTCTTGTTGTTCTTTCTCTAACATTGCAGCTTGTTTTTTATCTTCACAACTAGAGTCACATTCTATATTGATTTCAGCATTTCTAACAGCATTGCAGGGAGCATCTTTTTTCAAATTACCACATGGGCAGTGAATTTTAGTCTTTTTAGTACAGATTTGATTTACTCCGCATGGTCCCGAATGACAAATATTTCTACACCTATGTCCACATTCAAGATTCTTTGGACATGTTTGTTTACAACTTAGTGTCTCTTCATTGGTACTTGATAGTTCACGACAGCGGAAATATAGTTCTGTGATACCACAATGACATGACACTCTCTCCATTATATCACAAGGTGGACACATGCCGGGATGACAGCCTCGTTTTGCACATTTGTGTGAGCATTTCTCAGGACGGATTTTTGAACACTCTCTGTTGCATGGCTTGCATGTATAAGGCACATTTGGGTACTCAGGGTCAGAGCTATACAAATGACATAATTGTTTACACAAGTGATTTCCGCAAGACAATGGTTTTCCACATTCACGTCCGCAGGGTTGTCGATATGCTTTGTGGCATGGTTGATTGTCTGTCTCATGTTCACCAAAACATATGATTGTTACAGGAGCATTACAAGGTGGGCATTCTAGGGCAACTATTTTAGACTTTGGTGGCTGAGCTTCCCATGGTGTAGCAGGTTTTTCTATCTGTTTAAATGTAACAAGTACATATTCATGGCATGTTGCTGTACATTTATGATCACATTTTTGGTATTTCTTGTTACAAATAGCTTTGCATGGTGGGCAATCACCAAAGTGGCATGAATGTTTATTTTCTTCTAAATGACCACATTTATATTTAATTTTACATGGAAGATTGCATTTAGGTGGACGAGTATGTCTTTCTCTTCCACATGGAACTCTTACATATGTCTCTTTACAACGGCAAGTTACTTTAGACTCCAGAGGACATGGGTAGCAGGGTCCATGATGACAAATTGTTGTACATTTGTGGCGACCACACTGTAATGATTTGTCACATACCTTTTCACAAGGGGGACAGTTACCGTTGCAACATTTTCGCCCACAGCCATGTTTACCGCATGGTCTGATACCTCTACATTTTGTGTCACATTTAAACTCCTTGCTGCATGGCAATGACCTAGTATGAGTTAAACATTGGCATTTTTTTTCAATCTGCACTTGGCAAGGTGGACAAGGGCCTTTGTGACATTTAGCCGAGCAATTGTGTTCACAATCCTCATATTTCTTACCACAAGTACCAAGACATGTTTCAATAACATCTGGACATTGAATATAACGTTGATTAGCTCCACAAGGGCATGACCTGATTCCAGAATTGGGGCATGTCCCACAACTACCGGTGTGGCATATTTTGTCACATTTATGGTAACCACAGGCAAATGGTTTATTACATATTTTTGGGCATTGCCACACCAAATTGTTGCAAGGACGTTTAGTTTGTTCTGCTTGACATTGACAAGACTGCAAGCTTGTATAATTACAAGGAGGACACTCTCCTGCATGGCAAATATTTTCACATTTATGAGATCTACAAGGTAAACTTTTATTACATGGTTGTTGACATGACCATTGGGCAGCACTACATCTTACTCTCTTGCGCTCCTTGTTACAGAAGCAAGCTCCATTCACAGTTTGCGGACATGGTGGACAAGGTCCGGGGTGACATAATAATAGACATTTATGCATACAATTATTACCAACAGATAATCTTTTACCACACACTTCCCCACATGTGTGAGGTATTAGCCAGGGATGGTAAGGAGGGTCATCAGTTTTACCGCAAAAACATCGATATTTACGTGGTATTTCTTCTTTATTGTACGAATGTCTACATTTAGGACAGCACCATTCTATCTTTTTGGGTAGAAACACTGCAATTGGGCCTTGATTTTCTTCGCTACGTAAACTTATACTATCGTTAGACCACTTCTGTATACAAGAAATATGAAAATAAGAATAGCAGTGGTCGCATGTCCATATAGCTTCAGCTCTTTTAATGGAACCAATGCAAATTAGGCAGGTTACTGAGCGACCACTTAGTGCTTCTTCGAGAAGGTTCTTAGTCCTATTAAGCATATGCGTGTCCCCACCTCCTCTCCAATAGCTTTGAAATACACTCTCAAGGACATTAGACTCAAATGGTTCATCGTCTTCAGAGGACGAAAGTTCTTTCATGACTTGCAGATGTTTCTGGACATTTTGCTGCAATTTAGCAGCAGCATCTCGATATCGTCTAGCCATTGTGGTAAATAGTATTAAAATGTCTTTATCACATAGCAAATTCTATTGTAGATTGAATTACTTTAATAAAACTACACAATTTCCTAAAAGTCTAAAACTCCATGTCGGCAGTGTATTGGAATGACGTTGACATTATGTGCCAAAAAGAAATTTCCATGTTTATGCTTCAGGTATGGATTCGACTCTTTTAGCACCAAAATTAAATAAAATGAAAAATGAGGAGGATTTCTTGAAAAGATAGCGCTACACGTATGATCTATTTGTATTCAGTTTGGAGTTACTCGTAAGTTAAAGCTTCTATTGTTCGCATTTTACCTGTGCAATGTATTGCACCTGGAAGACAGACTAACTGAAGGAAGAATTGAGAAGGAGAGTTGCATCCTGTGGTGACTGATGGATCAACACACAGCGTAAACCGCTGGTCGTAGAAATTAGAGGACGTTATATGATATAGGCATCCGATAAGAAAGGACTTTTCGAAATTCATCCCCTAAGTAGGTAAAATAGGTGATCATAGATTATATGAAACTCTGTCATTTTTAATCTGAAATACACAGAAAGTGGTGTTTAGCTTTACAATGAAAAAAAGAAATATATTTATTTTTTTTAATTTACCCCTTAAAGGGGTAAAATTTATATGAGTAAAGATTTATTTCTGATCAGAATTACTTGAAACTTGTATCATTACTCTTTAATACAATTAAATAAATACATATTTTTGCATTTTTTGAAATTCAACATAAGTTGGTAAAATGGGGGATGAAAGTTTGTATGAAACTTTGTAATAAATACGTAAAAAAGTATAAAAAATAAAAAAAAAAACATTCACAATTTAAGAGTTTTAAAATCACTTTCTGTAAAATGTTGTGCACATAGCGTTAAATATAAAGATTTTAGATTTCGCCAATTTTGGTCCTCTTATTGCTTTAGCCCACGGTTTATTCAGTTTTTTCTTTTGGGGATATCAATTTGCTTCGCATCCTGGCACTATACAATTTGTTATTATAATTAAATTTTGAATAAAATATAAGAAATTCCATACACGCTATATAGCTTTACAATATACTGAGGGCAATAGTGATCGCGACATCTGGCGGGAGAAAAAGAAAAGAAAAAGGTTAAATTTTATTCATTTCAGCTATACTGCTTTGTATTCTACTATTATAGATTTACCTTTAGCAAAGGTTCCTTAAATTTTTTTTTTTTTTTTTTTTTTTTTTTTATTTATTTATTTCAGGCAATATTTACATAGGGATCTTAAATATGTAAACAGCGGCCCATAGCATATATACCTTAAAACTAACATATAATATATTAATTATAAAAAACTTAAAAACTATTTAACACGTAGTGCAGACGTGTAAGCTGTGTCGGCGGGCATACGACCTCGGAACTTCCGAAACACGACGCCCTGCGGCCAGAAGTCCTCCTTCATGAAGGTTGGCAGATGATGAGTCGGCACTCTCACCACAAACGAATTGAAACTCGTTTTGTGGCGAGGTACCAGCCGTTCAACCCTCAATTTGAAGTTGGACCTCTTCAGGACGTAGTCTACGACATCCTCGACCTTCGTAGACCAGTGCACTCGGGACACATACAGCGGCGTCGATGGTACGGCAGGACGCATCGGATGGTCTGGCTGGTTCGGAGCTGTGCCACAGATGTTACGGCATGAGGGCTTCTTTTTCTTCCTCTCCACTTTAGTGAAGCCCTCCTCGTCAGGTTGGATCTTCGTGGAACCCGTCGAAGGCACCTGTTTGGCAGCTGGTTTGCTCCGGCTCTTCTTTTTCCCTCCATTCGAGGGCCGCTTGTTTGGCGGGGCGGGTGTAGGGGCGGGGGCAGGCGCAGCTGCGGCTGCGGCTGCGGCGTATGCACGCGGCGGGGTCATGACCGCGCTCGCACTCGACGTCATCAGCGGGGCCGGGGATCGGGTGGCGGGCGTCACTGTGTCGCACGATTCACGCACCTCAGCAGTAATCGGAGGCGACGACAGACTGCTGATGGAGTCAATTTGTGCGCCGCGACGTGTGTTTATGTTAGTGACCTCCGGTGACCTACTTACAGAACCATTATTTTTGAACGATAATAATTCTGCGCGCAGCTCACTGATGGTAGATTCGGAAATCTCTAACTTAAACTGCACCTCTGCCAGGCCAGCTTTCAGGATGGTGATATCCTTGAGCAGCCTGGTAACGTCAACGTGGTCGAACGTGACGGGAGGCAGCTTGTTCAGCTGCTTCGCCACGAAGGCGGGCACGTCGTCAGGATCGGTTATCTTCAGGAGATTAATGATGTCCTGAAGACTTCTCTCCCCCTTTTCATCCCTTCTACGGGTGGGCATTCGGTCAGCCTGGCCGAGAGTCTCATAGAGCAGCACCTTGCTCCTGCAAATCTCCTCTTCTTTAAAACTCGACTTGCAGATCTGCATGATGCTGACCTCGTCCATAGTGTCGATGGCGTGCTGTATAAACGCCAACAGCTCGTTAGCTATGAGTTTTTCGGAACTCATAGCGGCGGTATCCGGCAGCGGCTAAGCCGCGCAGTACGCGAATCAAAATTCGGGTCAGAGTGTGCAAGCAATGCGCGTCCGTTACCTAGCGCGCATTACTGACGACTGGAAACTTAAAGAAAGTTTTTTTATTCCTAATGTAAAATGTTATCGTCAATATAGGTTTAGTCCACTTATGTTTTCTTCAACGCTTACGTTAACAGAAATACTATTTATTTAGTATAAGAGTAACAAACATACATCCTCACATACTTTCTCTTTTATTAAAATTAGTAGGTTATCAATACTAATATTATAAATGTGATAGCTTGTATGGATGTTTGTTACTCTTTCACGCCAGAACGGCTGAACAGATCTGGATGAAATTTGGCACAGAGATAGATTATAGTCTAGAATAACACATAGGCTACTTTTTATCCCGGAAAAATGCACGGTTCCCGTGGGATAGATTTGTTTTGTTTTCCTAGCGACGAACTCTAGCGAAGCGTGGGCGAGCCGCTAGTTCAGTATAATTTCAATACAAATATTGGGGTGCAAAATGGAAAAATAAATAAAACAAAGTATGATTGGAGCGACATTTATTATTGTTTGAACACAACCTAATGATCTATGTATAACATTAAGTACTATAATAATAGTAAACGTCAATAAAAATGCATTTAGTTCAGGCCCTAGAAGATATCATTTCATATACGTTTTTATTAAGAATTACAAATTTTAAATAGATTTGGAATTTTTTCGGTTCAAAACTAAAAAATTACAAAATATTTTCAAATTTACATCATACGAATATTGCTATTTAAAAGAAAATTAAATTATTAACAATATCAAATCACCTCTAAAATAATCATAACTATATATGCACTAGTATTTGTTTTAACGTTAACAACATTATAATTTCCAAGAATAATTGGCCTTTAAAATTAAAATATATATTTTAGTAATACTGAAATGATGCATAGTTTAATTTTTTCTTCTATTTAATCTTTATCTACTTGCTACAAAATATTTAAAAGGTATAGAAAGAAAACATAAAAATAGAAAAAATTTGGCCTATTGATAGAACACAGTCACTTTATGTGGATTTAAAAATTCATAAATATATTTAATAAACAGTAAAATACTTATAAAATAGCTAGGGCCATATAAAGAAAGCTAAATAGTGCGAGACGTACCGTTGCAAATATATGTTTTTATATTGTATAATGTAATAAAAATAAGATTATTACATTGAGTATGACTGTATAAGCTGCACCATTAAAGAAACGAATCTAAAATGGCATCTGAGTACTTGTACAGTGACAGATTATAAGGTCAGCAATAGTTTATTAGCAATAGTGTGCAAGTGAGACAGCATGATCGGCGCCGCCCTTTTAGATTCGTTTTTTATGGCACAGGTTATACAAAATTAAACCTTCAAAAATTTATAGAAATCAGCCAAAAACTCCCAATTAACTAGAAAATATTGTGAAATACTCTAATTATAATTTCTAGAAAAGTTTTTAAATGAAAAACAACTGCTACAATACCCTCTCCGCTATGAAGACAGAATAAAAAATCCATTACAATAACATTAGTAATTTGTGTGTCGCGAGTACATTTGGCAACAAAAGTGTCATTTTTGCCATTGACAGCAGGTACGATGAAAATATTATTATGAAAATGTAAACAAATTATATAAATCAGTATTAAAAATTTCATGATAAAGCATTTCATTCTGTTCTTTATAGATATTTTAATATTAGTATAACTCTTAAATGACTCATATAGCAATAAAATGCTGTTATAGTAATACGATATTTATTCATACAGTATGAATGATATTCTGACCTTAAGAATTTTGTTACCAAATGTACTCAATAATTAATTACATTAGAGATTCGATGTTAATATCCAGAATTATTGGAATGTACGACTAAAAAAAATCAATAACTTCGCTTTCTATAATCTATGTTTCTCTATACATTTTTGTATATTGCTTTTAGACATGATACTGATAATGATTAAAATATGTCAATTATCTATTTAATAACGACATTAAATATGATCTTTTTTTTTAATTTAAGTAATCTATGTGACACAGTTAATCGCCGCTATTTAGATTTTTTCAAAAAGTCTAATTGACAGTATTTACCTCCAAATATCTAGGAAACGTGACTATTGAGAGCACCATGTTGGAAATGCTTTTTGTTTAATGAAGTGCCCTCTATACATATTTTGTCTCATCTTGCGTAAAAAATTTGACAAACAAAAATTGAATGGCAGCGTTTGGTTACCGCCAGAATCCATAGAAAAATATTCAGATCATTGTGCAAAGATAAACGTTTAAATGATTTTTTTCTTTCTTCATAATATCTAATGTACTTTTTTTTAATACAATTAATACTAAAGCACAGTGTATTATGACCCAATAGTATATTTTTTTTAATATTAAGACTAAAAAGACGTCATTAAATAGATTTTTAACATATTTCTGTATAAACACTGCAAGGAGATTGTAAGCTTTAAAAAAAGCGAAACCAAAACTTAAACCAGTATCACAATTAAACTGGAACTTTTATATTTAAATTAACACAATAATGAGTTACACACACACACACACACATATATATATATATATATATATATATATATATATATCGGAAGATAACTTTACATTAACTACTAAATACTGTCAATTATAATATCAAATGATCACCGATATAACCACCTTACCACCCAATGCATCACATCACCACAACCAAACACCATATACATGCATGTACTCGTACATATAAGACGGTCAGTACAAAAGTGGCATAAAACAATTTTTGACACTGCAAATTTTTTGTGTATGCTTAACACATATGTACACACAAAATTTTTTTACAACCAAATCGTATACCTCTTTACTTTAAGGTAGGTCTAAAGAAATTGTTAAAAAAAAATATTATCTGTATTAGATACCTAATTAAAAATAAAATCACTTCTAAAATTATCAAAATGAGACTTGGGCCATATTTGTACTGACGATCAGACATAATTGTTACTCATAATACACACCCCTAGTATGGACGTACCTACAGTAAAATAATGAATATAACCTAATACCATCCATTATATTAATCCATTCCAACATCCCAAAATCATTTAAAATCATAACAAATAATTATATATCTATATCACTTTTATAATATTAAATAATGAACCTAAAAATACTATATGATTTTGCTAGATGTTAAAGAGCTGTACATTTCATATTGTCATCGATGAATCAATTCTTCTTTTTAAACATGACAATTTAAAACTATTTTCTTTGCTAATGTCACGTAGAATAACGTTTGTCAAACATTTTGAGAACGAAAAATAAATAGAATTCAATTCAATGCCATTTAACGCCTTCAAAGCGTGATAGTTGGGCATAAATTATGTCGCATTAAAAGGAGCGAGAAAGGCCAAGTGATATATGAAATTATACCACTAAAATATTTTATTAGATTAACATTATTATATAAAAGGATTTTATTTTTAAAAATATAGTGAAACACGCAATTTGTTTGACAAACTCATAAAATGAAATTGACAACTGTCAAATAATTTTACAAAATAAGTAATATTTTTCAAAAATTTTTTGATTACCGAGCCCTTTAGTTTAAGATGCTTTTTATAAAATGATGTTAAATTAAATTATGTTATAAAATATTTTTCTTATATATAAATATACAAAAACACTTTAAAATTAAACAAAACACATACTTACAATTTTCATTAAAAAAATTTAGTACTCAGTATCCAACTTTTGGTTCAACTAAAAGTTTAACATTACCAAAAAAAAAAATGCATTGGTCAAGAAAAAAAAGAAAAAAAAAGAAACAATAATAGAAGAACTTTTCTCAAAAGAAGAGAAGAAGAAGAGTCGAAATATCTAGCTCAAATTGTATATTGTATATTTTGTATCGTCTAAAAGTGTTAAATTGATTCAATTGAAAAAAATACTTTCAAATTAAAAAAAAAACCCAAAAATCCAAAAAAAATACCTCATTTATTAATGAAATTCTTTAATTAAACTCAAATAGAACCACTATCGAGTTGTAGCCTATTTTCTTAGTAGCTAAATTCACTTTACTATATCAAGATTCATTCCTTTATGGCAGCGCCATCTATCGATAAGTTAAACAATAAAATTTTATAATTATCGTTAATTCCAGAACATGTTATGTGTTTTATCTGAATAACAGTTTATATCTTATTGATTAACAAACAATGATACATTCTTATAAACTTTTACTTTTATAATACCAGTAGGATGCAATATCATTATAAGAATCGGTGAAGTCACACATACACATTTCCTAACAAATATCTCTTGAAAGTGTGGCGTCGACATGTCACGTTATGGCAAACTAAAGAATAAAATTCAAAAATCGAAAGTTCTAACTGTGTAAACACAAATTCGAACTTACGCACACCACATAAAGTACATTTTTAAACGAAACAACGTGCGTTTTAATTTTGTCATCCGAAAAGCAATGAACAAAAGAGGTTTGAAAAAATGTGCAATTCAATTTAGAATTGTGTACTTCTTTTGATGGCACTTTTGAGACGCTAATTGTGTATCTTGAGTTTTTATTTAACAATGGAATATATAATATATACATAATCTATGTATGTATATATGTATACAAAAAAAACAATGATTCTAAAAAAGTTATTGTACTTGAGAGTATTTTAAGACTACTCTAGATTGGTATAGATATCACTGATTTTGTGTACCACGCCAAAGTACGCAGGTTCAAATCCCACGTTATTAAAGTTTGATTTCATCTTACAAAAGCATGCGTTAGTATGAATGTTATACCTCATTATATGCGTATTTGTAAATCAGAGTCTATTAGATTTTCCTTTAAGCAAAATGTTGGAAAATACTTAAAGGCCTGTGTATTTTTGAAAATATAATTTAACACTTCCAGACGACCGTATAATATTATGCGAAGCAGCCATTAATATATAAATCGTGTGTTGTATCTCGTTTCGGCCATCTGTAAAATTAATGGATAATTTTTCCTTATATGTTAATCTCTAAATAATCTCATAAAAATAAGTTATCCTTTGTCCATTTGCTTTCAATTAATTCAATTTTCTTTGTTAATGGCTTTAAAGATTGCCAGTTGAGCACAGATAATTATTTTACCAATGTGACGTACAATGGAGAAGACACGACTAACTTAGGCTACTTTTATTTTATAAAAAGAATTATGGTTCCGCTCAAAAAAATTAAAACGTACCTAGGAATCTGAGAGAATCTAGGGTAAGTCACTAACTAGTATTAAATAAATATATTAAGAGTATATTAAGACTCACTAGTATAAGAACAGCTCGGGGAAGTACTTGGTGTAGGGCGGCGGCGCCTTCGCCCCGCCAGGGGAGCCCACGCCGCCCGCCAGCAGGGGCTCCTCTGACAGCGAGTTGAATATCTCCTCCAATTTATCCTTTATCTCGTACTGGAATTGTATGTTTGCTTGATTAGATTTATTTATGTATTACTAACACCAACAACATATAAATAAAAAACAGAATTATAGCATGCCCATAAGGAATCTGAATGTTATCTTAATTATAGCTGTTACACGCATTGCAAAGAAACACGTATAGAAATAATGGAGAACAATAGGTACATAGAATAAAAAATTACACAATAAATTAAAAAGTGCATAGTGATAATATAGATAGTTTAAATAAGTCGTATCAGTAAAACAATTAATCGATATAAAGAAGAGGAACAAATATATATGTTGGGACATTAACACACAGCACCATCAGTTCCACGGTAAGCTACGAGGCTTGTGTTATGGATACTAGATACTTGATATACTACACGTATGTAACTTTAAATACATACATATTATAAATATAAATATCCATGACTGGAGTACAAACATTCGTGTTCATCACACAAATGTATGCCCCCAGCGGGACTAGAACCCGCGACCGCTGATACAGCAAGTAGGGTCACCACAAACTGAGTCAAACGTCGTGTTGGTGCCTCTTATATTTTTGTGTGCGAATCATTCCCAACATGATTACCGCTTGTATTAACGGTGAAAGAAAACACCGTGAGGAAACCTGTATGTCTGAGAGAACGTAGCAAGTTTTTCGAAAGACTTCTCGACCTTCTTACTGACTTGACGCTTGACCAGCGTGGTGTAGTATGGCCCGATCCCCTTCGTATTGAAGGGCGAGCTCGGGCGACGTGAGCAGTTACCTTGGGCTGCGTGAGGTGCAGCAGGTGGTCGAAGGGCGCGGTGCGGAAGGCGCAGTTGAGCGTGGCGCGGCGGCGCTCCGCCTCGCGCCGCTCCGCCTCGCCCGGCGGCAGCGCCGCGCGCCGCAGCGCCTCCAGGCTCACCAGCTCCGACGCGGCCGGGTGCTGGGGGGCCGACTTGCTTTTAAAATGTGATAATTTAGATAGTTATTTGTTACTAAATCACGCCAGAACGGCTGAACGGAACTGGATTAAATTTAACACAGAGAGAAAAATTATAATCTGGAATAGCACATAGGCTACTTTTTATCCCGGAAAAATATACGGTCCTCGAGGAATAAATTCATTTTTCTTTATTTAGAGCGAAATTCTCCGTATCCCGATTCAAGCGAGGGTGAGCCGCTAGAAGATAATACTCCTTGAGGTTTGTGATCCCCTAATACTAGTAACAATTATAGTAATACCAGATATTATCAGCTAAAGGCAGCCCATAATGTGACGTCACCACATTTGTTAAGGAACATAAGTCATAAGAAATACGTGTGCACTCTATACCTTTCTTGAATAAGCTTCATTCAACATATAGAAGAAGATCAAGTTTGTCTTAAATAAAATTACATTTTCGGATTTTATCCCAGTTTTGTTCCAATATAACCATTCCCTTGAATGTTCATCCTAGTATTAAAGATGTAAATTTTATGTGTACGTGTGTATGTTTGTGTTTGCTTGTTACGAATTTGAACCTGACCGAAATCCAGCTAAGGCATCCAATCTCACTATTGATATATAGCTATATGAATGGAAGATGTTATAAAACGCAAAAATATGCGCAAATAAATGCGTAAAACTCCACTCATTTACCGAAGCAAGAGTAACTACTATACGTCTACCGTTTTTTACTTTTACAAATAATAGAAAAAACTTATTATAATAATTTTTTAGCCAAGTCCTAAATTTAATATATTTGACCACTGATCTGTTTGAAATAGATTCCTATATTAGCTTCTGAAAGCCAATTAGACGCGATATACGTATGTACTAAGTAAAAAAATATATCCTATAGTTGAATAATTATTATTAATATAATATATCGACATATTAACCACATTGGATTTCTCTCGTCTCGTGTCATACAAAGGCACATCGGCTTCATGATTCCAAAACCAAAAATCTTTGTCGTTTCTCTAGAAATGAGATAGAATAAGATTTAGAACTTAATCTTTTTTAGCTTATTTTTATTCAGCCCATTCAACAATGAGAACTTTCCTCATTGTTGAGAACGAAAGTGTCCATCAAAAAATTATCAGGATGTAGTCCACCATGTTGACTAAGTGTGAGCGGATTGACCAAATCCTTCAAAAACTTGCTAGGTTCTCTCAGACATGTAGATAACCTAACGATGTTTCTATTTTCTAGTGTATATTTAGAATCAAGTGGCCAGCGTGGTGGACTATGACCTGAGCCCCCCCTTTATTGAAGGCAGGTCCACACCCAGCAGTGGGACGTTAAAAAGGGCTGATTAAGACATATTTATTTTAGTTATAAATTCCAATTCAGTTCCAGTTCTAAGATCAATACACTTATTCTTTAATGGTCAAGTATACATTGTATATCATTTAACGAATTTAATGTAACATATTTAAATATTTACATATGCACCAAAATTCAGCATGGACGGACGGTGGTCATGGTTGTATTTCTCTATAAACTTCCTGTACTCTTCGTCCAGATCGTCATATTGGAGTTGCTGTGTAATGTCCTTTATTAATATTTACTTTTAATATCATTTCGAAATATACTCTCGCTTTTTTCTTTGCACGATAGAGAGATAGCATTACGTGTATATGTGCGTGTGTGTGTCTGCGTGTGTATATGTTATCCTTTTCTTAAGTCAATCAAAAATAATATTATAGGCTCATTCAATTATATTAAACATACAAACCATATCTATACATCATACTTAAGAAATAAAATGCAAATTAACAACTTACAAGTAACCATTCGACAGTTAGCTTTCACACGCTTAGTTGTTTAAATAAATTTGCTAGCTGTCGATATTTTATCGTTGTAAATAAACTTATGGGAATATTAGAATTAGTTTTAAGTCTCAATTATATCGTATGTCCGTGTCCATTTCAAGTTCGTATATATAAAGACACAAAGGCCACTCACGCGCTGCACGCCGGGCGAGCTGTTGGCGCTGTCCAGCTCCGTGTTGGCGCCCGCGATGTCCGCCAGGCTGTCGCGCCCTTGCGTCGCTCCTGGATTACAAAAAGTAAGATAATAAAAAAATAATTTACAAAAAAAAACCCGACTGCGTAAACCGCGAACTGAAAAGATTCAATATTATAAGGTACTTTGGTGTCATTTTTGAAATCATTTTTGTAAAATTGTGGATAAGCATTGTCTGTAAATATATACTTGTATATATAGCGCCTCGTGACCATGATTGCTGTAAAACATTTGAAACCTCGGAAACCAAAAATCAAAATAAATCCGCGAAATGATCCGAAAATATAGTTTTTTTAAACCCTTTATCTTTATATAGTCTCCATCTACATCTCATGGGAATTACAATACTTTTTTAGGTTTCCAATTTGAAATACAATTTTTATTTATTGCGGGTTTATTTTGATTCTTGGTAACCAACGCTTAAAATGTTTTTATAGCAAATATGATCTAAGAAAGGCTTATGATACCTCAAAAGTTATAGCAATTACAGAAGTTATCTACCAACAAAAATTTATAAATTAATAATTGTCCAAAAAAAATCTCGAAGATATCTGACACCTTACACGCGAAAATATTTAAAAAAAAATGTTATATGCACGCATAGCAAAAACGAGTTAGATTTAATCTTGATGTAAAAAAGTTTGAGCCTGGCTATATTCTATATAATATACATATATAATGTAATTTTACAACAGCTTTATGAATGACAAAGGAACAATAAGATGAATATGTAAAGTGGGAGTGGGCGTGGGCGTGGGCGTGACACCGACCGGCCTCGACCCAGCTGTGGCGGTGCGCGAGGTCGGCGCCGGCGCTGTAGGGCGGCGTGCCCTGCAGCCGCCCCGCGTCCACGCCGCTGCCCTTCAGACAATCGCCCAACGCCATCTGCAGTTTATAACACCCATTCAAATAAACTATAAATAAATATGTTGGGACATCAACATACAGCACCATCTAGTTCCATTGAGACCTGTGTTATGGATACCAGATAGTTGATACACTACACATATATAACTTTAAATATATACATATTATAAATATAAACACCCATGACTGGAGTCCAAACATTCGTGCTCATCACGCAAATGAATGCCCCCAGCGGGACTCGAACCCGCGACCGATGGCACAGCAAGTATAACGGTTACTACTACAAACTGAGCCAAACGTGTCGAAATGTAAAGGCCAGATTCCGACGAATTGAGAACCTCTTCCTTTTTTGGAAGTTGGTTAAAAAAACCCGACATGTAATTCGCCATTTTGTGGTGGCGGCCATCTTGGATTTGAAATTTATCATAGTGTAAAGTATTCTACTACTCAAGTCCTTTCATTTGATACTCATATTGAGGGAGTTGTGAAAAAATATGTAATCCGCCATTTTGTGACAAATTTTCATCAAACTTAAATAAAACATTCCCGACTAATTCCTCCAGAAATCAATCAAAATCGGTTCATCCGTTCTGGAGCTACGATGCCACAGACAGAACACACATAGACAAGTCAAACTTATAAAAACCCGTCGTTTTTGCGTCGGGGGTTAATAAATAAAACATCACCTGATCTATCATTAAGTACGGCAGTTTGTTGGGCAGTTGGGACGGAGACAGGTCGTAGTTGTCCAGCAGTGGGGGTAACAAGTGAGGCGCTTCCTCACGTCGAGCTTCTATTATCTGAAAAATAAATATACATAAATACATACATAAATTTCAAAACAAAATATACAAGACATTATTTCTATGTGATTCATATTTCCAAAACTAGTAATTTTGTAGTTATTAAGGTAATGGATCTAGTGCCGGCTGCAAGATTGCTACGTTCATAGCGTATATAATCAAATCATTTTTTTTTATATACAACAATAAAAGGGACAATATGTTTTGACCGCGGTGCCTATTAAAATGTGCCCGTTAGTATGTTTAATTAAGTAAATAATAATTGACTTTTTGGAACAAAAACGATGTATTTGTTATCAAAATGAATTATACTCTGCTTCACAGAAATATGCTTAGAGATCTTGAAAAGACATAGCTGCCGTTGCGCATTTGGCCGCAACCTCTTCGCAGCCAGGTGTGAGCGGGTCATATTTTGTTACGTTTATACGTTCATGGCGTATATTCATCATTTATATATAAAATTAAAGTTATTGCTTTCTGTGCATGATAAAATACCTCTACCTATGTAAAAGCAGACGCAATGGAAAGAAAAGGAGGAAAGAATATAATATTATATATCATTTGTCAGACAATAACAACGGTTACCGTGGCAGAGATAGATTAAAGTGAAAGAGAGCTAGTGCGTTCGTTATGTGGGACTCACCGGCTAGAGAAGCCAGTACTACCACTATAATCCAACAAAACTTCCCCCGTCTTAATGGGGTGTCGCAGGATCGCTTTCGCACTCAAGTACGGGGATGTCATCTCCTACCAGAAATGTTCCGGCCTCCAGGTCCCTACCTGCGATATATACTCGGCGAGGCGCGGCAGCAGCAGCACGTGCGGCACCAGCGCCGCCAGCGCCGCCGCCACCGCGTGCAGCATGCACTGCTGCGCCGTCGACAGCACCGGGTTGGACAGCGCCGACTGCTGGATGCTGAAGACGAGACAAGGCAAGGTGTTAGAGATTGCACATTCATCTTTATCTTTCTTATCTTTATTCACATTCAGAGGGATACGAGACTTTTAATTCTAAGTTGTAGTCAGGAACAACTACAAGTAAAAAAAATTCGTAAACAAAACTGTTTTTATTGAAAATTTTAAATATTCCCATAAATCTAAAAAAATATGTACTATCTAATTCGAAATTAATTAAACGAATTAAATGCATTCATTCACAATTAAATGACTGTTATTCATTCATAATCATTCAGTAATGAAATATCACTGACAACACAAAACTATTTAAAGATCAATTAAATGAATAAAAACCAATCATTCACATTCACAAGGATATAGAACATCTAATTCAAAATTAAATCAATATATTAATTAAATCCGTTCATTCACATTCAATCATTTATTTCAATATCAACTAAATCCGTTCAATAACACCAACTATACATATTATATACATAGAATTAGAACATTATCAGGGACATTGAATGAAACGAGTGACTAAAATGAATGAATGAATCGTACACTTCATTCATTCATTACACAACAATTAGAACATAACAGGGCCCACTCACGAGAGTATGACCTGCAGCATGTCGCACACGGTCTCCTCGGAGGCGAGCTCCACGCACAGCAGCGCCAGCGTGGTGTAGATGGCGCTGATGGTCTCCGCCGTGTTGGACTCCAGCTGCAGCCCTGCGGGGGCGGAGGGGGTTACCACAGTGTAATAATATGCCTTCATTTAAAAATGTTTACTTGATATATCTATCTATGACTTTGTCAAGGACAATAAAGCCAAAAAGTCTATTCTTGCTATACGAGTGTTTTATATCTTGCTATATGATATTTTTTATCTGTTATATGATTTTTACTGTATTTATGTATAGTACTAACGACTCACCCTCGCTTCGCTCGAGTTCGTCCCTAGGTATGATTTAATTTTTTTGAGCGGTACCCTAATTCTATTTCTAAAATAAAAGTAGTTACTCCCTATAACATTTGCTATCTTTCAGTGAAAGTCCCGTCAAAATCAGTCCAGCTGTTTCAGAGATTATCCAGAATAAACAGACAGACAGACAAAAATTTTAAAAAATGGTGTTTTTCTTATAAAGTAGCGTAAATAATTTCATATGCTTTTAGTAAAACGCTGTTTTTTTGACATTACAAACAGACACTTCAATTTTATTTATCTGTATAGATTTAAAATACACAACACAATAGCCATTTGTGTGAGCAATAGAAATACATATAACATCTTACCTTCATACAGCGAACTGAAGATGGCGTATCCATGTTTGCTGATGAATATGAGGTCCGGGCGAGAGCACTTCTCCACTACAAGGCCCAGCTCTGCGTAGTCCACACTGGAAGGAGAATTCATATTTATTTTTTATTTATTTATATACCAGAGAAAAAAAAACATAGAAGTGAAAACAGATACCATGTGCACAAAGGATGACTTATCTCTTTAAGATATCTATACAAGAAATCCTCAAGCGTGAGAAAATATAAATATAATAAAGAGGTGCAGTGTAGATACAAACTACCAACATCAATTATAATATAAATGTACACATATATATGTTTGTATACATACATACGTACATAGATACTTACATCCATATATACATACATACATATACATACTTCAAGATATATATAATAAGGAAATCACGTGGAGTCACATAGATAAATTTCTATATCACTACTATTATTTATATATCACTACAAATTATAATTTTTATTATAAATTAGAGTAATACGGGATGTTTGTTTTATTAGGGCTTATATCAGAAACTTATAATTTGTTGTGTGGATTTTCATATAATTTTTATCAACAGATAAAGATATTACCCAAGAAGGTTGAGTAAATAAGATAAGTTATTAACATTTTCTTGTGCTGTCCAAATTTCGATTGATTTTGGTATCTACGAGTCCATAAAATTATTAATAAAAAAACACTAAATTTTACCCGGTTTCTAATACAATAACTGTATTTCGCTCTCGAACGCTAACTCGAATCCGGGAGTTCCGGATCTGCAGCCGTATAACTTATGCGGGGAACTTCTACTTAGAGAAAGCAACGATGGTGAATGGTGTATATAGAGATTGTATGGTGGTAATGAGTATATACATGGTAACCACTTGTCTTACGGTGAAGGAAAACATCGCGAGGAAACCTATACGTCCGAATGAACCTAACAAGTTTTCGAAATACATCAGACAGCGTGGTGGAGTATGGCCTGATCCCTCTCGTACTGAAGGGAAGGGTGTATGTGGTGTACTGACGTGGGGCGGGCGAGGCGCGGCGCGTTGCCGCGGCGGTCGAGCAGCGTGTGCAGCAGGCGCTGCAGCAGCGCGGCGCGCGCGCCCGCCTCGCCCGCCACGCGCAGCAGCGCCTCCAGGAACGCCGCCGGGAACGCCTTGCTCAGCTCCGTCGTGCGGTACGTCGTCCCCACCTGCCGCGCGTTACCGCACGTTACTTATTTATTTTCTTACCATCACTGGTAGAAATGAAAATAGTTTTACAGATAATGTACATGATATTTAAATATGATGATCTTTATATTGATTATATTGACGACACGTTTGGCTCAGTTTGTAGTGGCCCTACTTTTTATGCCAGCGGTCGCGGGTTCGAGTCCCGCTGGGGGCATTCATTTGTGTGATAACGAAGGTTTATACTCCAGTCATGGGTATTCATATTTATAATATGTATGTATTTAAAGTTATATATGTGTAGTGTATCAACTATCTGGTATCCATAACGCAAGCCTCGTAGCTTACCATGGAACTAGATGGTGCTGTGAGCTAATGTACCAACGTATCAACATAATATATTTAAATATTTCTTTTTATAGATAATCACAACATACACGGTGTTATCCTGAGATACGGAGTATTAAAAAAAATGAAAACATAATTAAGTAGGAATATTAATTTATAAAATAAATTAATATTAATAAAATAAATAAAATGAAATTAACTAACGTTCTATCATTAACGTTCTATCATTAAAAATTGATACATGATTATATTACATACGTAGTTATATTGCACAGATTAGCATTACAACTATAAAATTATATATGTATATAAAACATTAATTTAAGAATTAATTATTAGTATTGTTTTTAAAGAAACGTGATAATTTATTTTTATTTAGATTTAAAAACATCTAAAATATCGCAAATAATATCGAGGGCAGATATTACCACACATTATCGTGTGTTACCACGCTTTTCAAATATATTTGACATTAGCTAAGCCCCGCGGTTTCACTCGCGTATAATTTAAAATATTTATATATATAATTAATACACCGATTGATGATTCATAATACTCCAGTATAGACAATATTTTTAGCAAAACTACCTTATTGTGGTTTATGTATTTAGATATACTCGTATGCTAACAACTTAGAATTGATGCGTCCTGACTCCTGAGGGACTCGAACCGAGTGTTAGCTTATAATATTCAATTTAAAAACTAGGAACCATCTCAGAATTATCATATTGACACGTTTGGCTCAGTTTGTAGTGACCCTACTTGCTGTGTCAGAGGTCGCGGGTTCGAGTCCCACTGAGGGCATTCATTTGTGTGATGAGCACGATTGTGTGTACTCCAGTCATGGGTGTTTAAATTTATAATATGTATGTATTTAAAGATATATGTGTAGTGTAACAACAACTATCTGGTATCCATAATACAGGCCCCGTAACTTCCCAAGATGTACCCAAGTAATTAGATGGTGTGCGTGTTAATGTCCCAACATATATATTTTTTCCCACTTTAAATTCTGTATTGACAAACACATACAAGCAAACCCACCCACACATTAAACTAGACATGAAATACATACACTTATTACTATAATACAAACCTTTAGAAGCGACTTCAATAATATACTTTGCAACATGGCGTCGGCCTTGCTGTTCTTCCCGCGGGAAGACGGGATCTTGCTGACGATGAACATCATTATATCTATTTTCTGGAAGTCGGGTAAATGGTCAGCGAATTCCCCTAGAGCGTTGATTAGGGCTTCTTGGTATAACCTCTCGTCCGATTCTTTCTGTAAATTAAAGAAAAGAATATTTAATCGATACATATAAACAAATATGACATGCTGTTTGTTGGTAAGCACATTATTTGAAAATGTCTAGATCGATTATTTGTTTTACAAATATTCCTTATAGTATTAGATTTTTAAAGAAATTTAAAAAAAAAAAATTAGACAAAATAACGTTAATCGGGTCAAAAAGTACATATTAAATTCGCAATAAACCAAGAACAAAATAAGCAAAAAAAAAAATCTTTTTCGCTTGTATGTAAGTAGATCTTTGTCTATATACATACATTAGTATCGTTACTACAATACCTCAGAATCTCTCGCTACAGACGTCCTCAAGTTCGTCAGCAGATTGTTGATTATTTCCAGCACAGAGGGACCTGGAAAGTTAAAGAATATATTTTACTTATATAGGTGCATGCAGGCTTTTTAATGTCCAAGCGTGCACAGACATGTGCCCTGCACTGTAATATCTTTTGTTTCGGCTAATTTCAGTGAGATTCGATTCAGTCGATTTCAGTCTCGATGGATATTACGATTGATCAGAAAGACATCATTATAACGGAGCAAACATAGACTATACTTTTTGGCAGAGAAAGAGGAAAAATTTAATTTCTTCAATTTAAATTTTGGCAAAGTATAATAGAATACAATGTTGTGTTTTTTCTAGGCGTGTACGAGTCATGTTAGTAAGTTTAAATAAAAAGAAAACTAAAATATTTGGGCCCTCGACGCGACCTATCTATCTGCTTTATAATCATGAAAATCATTTTCGTGACAATAATTGCTGTAAAGCATTCGAAACATTGGCAACCAAAAATAAAAAAAATCCCCGAAAAAAATTTAGAAGAGATAGTTTTTTTTTTTTTTCCTGGTATGATTTGCGATCAGTCTCTTGACTATAAGCAAATTTCTTGAGAGATTGCTGTCATGTGGGGTGGATCCTCATTAGGATCTAATCTCCTTCATTAGTCAGGCTAGAATTATAATCCTAGATCTAGTATGGCTTTTCTTTTGAGACGTCTTGGACAGTTATCATCCAGAAGTCTGTGTGCTAGGATGTTAGGGTGATTAGCCAGGCGCGTTCTATATTGGCAAGCCAAACTACGAACTTCCTCTTTTATTTTGGACACTTGCAAGTTATGGTGGATTTCGTCATTAGTAATGAACCACGGTACATTAGATATTGTACGTAGAATTATGTTTTGCATTCTTTGGAGTATTGCAATATTGGAGTCACATGCGCTACCCCAGAGTTGAGCGCCGTATGCCCATGTTGGTTTTAATATTGTTGTATAAATCAGTAATTTGTTGTCTACCGACAATTTTGAATTTTTACCCAACAGCCAGTGGAAGTGTTTGTAACGGATGTTTAGTTCGTCTCTTTTAGTTTTTATGTGATTTTTCCAAGTCATTTTCCTGTCAAGATGCAGACCTAGATATTTTACACCATCCTTGTGAGGAAGTGTATTTCCACCCAAGTTAACTGACGGACAGTTACCATGTTTAAGAGTGAATGTTACTTGTACTGACTTATTTGCACTGGCTTTTATTCTCCAGTTTTTAAGCCAAGCATATATTTTATCTAATCCCTGTTGCAATAATGTGGAAGCAGAGGCAGCATTTTTATCACTTGCTAAGACAGCTGTGTCATCTGCGAATGTTGCTGTGGTAATTTTAGGCATTGTAGGCAAGTCTGCAGTATAGATAGTGTATATAAGATTAAAGTCCGATGTCGCATCTCGGTCTTTGATTTGGAAAAATCTATTTGATATATAGGAGATAAGAAGAGGTATATAGCTGTGGGGTAGATGAGTTTTTAATTTACATATGAGACCTTCGTGCCACACCTTATCGAACGCTTGCTGTATATCTAGGAATGCTGAAGCGCAATATTCTTTGAGCTCCAGGGTTTCTCGGATCTTGTCGCATACCCTGTGGACTTGCTCGATGGTGGAGTGGTGTTGTCTAAATCCAAATTGGTGGGCAGGGATGACATTATTTTTACTTAATAATGGGGTTATTCGATGTGACAAGGCCCTTTCGAATAACTTGGATAGAGTTGGTAGCAAGCTTATCGGTCTATAAGATTTGATGTCATGAGGTGGTTTTCCAACTTTGTGTATCATTATTATTTGAGACACTTTCCAGATTGTAGGGAAATGTTGGGTTCTTAGAATGCCATTAAATAGATAGCATAGAAAAACCACTGCCTTTCTGGGTAGTTCTTTTAGAACTTCTTTGGTTATCAAATCAAATCCAGGTGCTTTTTTGCTATCTAAACCTTTGATTAGATTAGATATTTCCTTTGGCGATACTAACTTTGGGGGAATATCAAGCTGGTAAGGGGCTGTAATAACCGCATCGACATAGTTGTTAAAGTCATCATTGTTAGTGCTATCATTAGGTGTAAATACTGCCACAAGATGTTCAGCAAAGGCTTGTACTTTTTCTTCGCAACTCCTAGCCCACATCCCATTGGGTAGTTTTATAGGTGTTTTTGCTATAGTAGGTCTACTTATAGATTTTGTTAGCTTCCACAGAGAATAGTTTGTAGCAGCCGTTGGAGTTACTGACAAGAGTTTGTGCTCTATTGTATTATCTTGCACTTCTTTGAGCTTTTCCCTTAGATCTTTACATGCTCGATTGAAAGCTGTTTTATCACTAGGATGTCTGCTAACGTGCCATACTCGTCGCAAGCGCCTTTTTTCTAATATTTCTAATTTTAGTTTTAAAGAAAGATGGGATGTGGCTCTACTTTCATTAGAATCGGGTGTGCTTCTCCAACAAGCTTCTTGTATAAGGTTGGTTATATGATGAGCTGCGATATCTATATCTTCTTGTGTTTTTAAAGCAATTTTCATGTTAATATTTTGTTCTATATAATAGCGAAAAGAGTCCCAATCTGTATATTTATTATACAGGATTTCAGGTTTTTCGTTATAGATTATGGTGGTGCTGATTGTTAGAAGTACCGGTGTGTGGTCGGAAGAGCTGTCGAAGCAAGATTCGGCTTTTAGGTAATGTCTAGACAATCCTTTAATAATGAAGAAGTCTAGTAAGTCGGGAATTTTGTTAACGTCTGTTGGCCAGTATGTTGGTTCGGCAGTAGAAACAGGGAGTGAATGATTTTTTGTATTGCTATGTTCAATTGTCTACCTCTTGTTGACGTTAATCTCGAACCCCAGGAGATGTGTTTCGAATTCCAGTCACCACCTGCCACAAACCGGCTTCCGAGTGTCAAGAAGAACGTCGTAAACATGGCTTCGCCAATATTATGCCTCGGTGGACAATACACCGATGCAACATTAAAGTAACCACATTTATCCTTGACAGCTACAACTGTGGCTTGTATATGGTCCGTTTTAAATTCGGGTAGAGGATGGTGTTTAATTGAATTTTTATGACAATAGCTGTACCACCATGGGCTCTGCCATCAGGGTGGTTTGTCATATATGTGCTGAAGCCATTAAACTTTATGCAACTGTTACGGGTGCAATGAGTTTCTGTTAAAAGTAGCATATCGAGTTTATGTTCCCCTAGCAATATTTCAACTTCTTCTTTGTTTGGACTTAGTCCATTTATGTTCCATGTAGCGGATCGCAATGCGTTCATTTAACTATTTTGTTAACAAGTGTTGTTATGAGACTCATCAAAGTACTCATCTGTTGTAGGATTAAATCAAATTTTTGTGTTTGTTTTATAAGTATTTCCTCCAAATTCAAATTAGTTTTATTTGTTTCTGACTCTTGAGTAGTTGGTTGATTATTCTTTTTAGATTTCAAAGCTTCAGTATATTGTATCCTTGCTTTTGTTGTTTCGTTAAATTTAACGTTCTCTATGTTTTCAATATTTTGGATTCGTTTTTCAGATTTTAGACCTGGTTTTCTCACTGGTTGCTTATTTGTTTTCCTAGCTAATATTTCTCGGTACACTTCACAGCCTTTATAATTCGCTGGATGTGCTCCCAAACATAGCGCACATTTGGCCGGAGAGTTTCTGTCGCCTTTTGGGCATTCAGATGTTTTATGCGATTGTGCACACTTAACACACCTGTAAGGTCTCATACAATAGTTTTTCGAATGTCCGTATTGCTGACAGCGTTGACATTGAACAATTGTTCTCTTTTTTCTTGGGTCTTCTATTATTACAGATTGGTGATATATATATTTAATTTCTTTAGCTAATTTATTGTTAGGGTGGGGAAGAAGGTTTACAAAGAATGTAGACGTTGGTTTCTTTTCGGGCCCATATCTAGCATTAATTATTTCGCCTGCTATAGTGTTTCCAGTTTTTTCAATGTCTTCTTTAATAGCATCAAGGGGAGTAGTATGATGTAAGTTCCTAATCACAAGTCTGTAATATCTATTTTCTTTACTATTAAATGTGTGCCCAATTAAGCCTTTTTCTCTGATGACAGTAATTAGCTTTTTATATACTTCCATATCCACTGTATTAACCCTAAGTTGATTTTTATTGACAATTTTATAAATAAATTTACTTTTGTCAGATACACTACTTAACAATTCTGTTAGTTTGTTGACATCATCTACACCATAAAGTATGATAGGTGGTGGTTTAATTTGTGTTGGTCAGAAGAGATAGTTAAATAAAATGTGAAATATTCGCGTACATCTGAGAGAGTATTATTAATACTAATATTATTATAAAGGGGTAATCTCTGGATCTACTGAACCGATTCAGATGAAATTTGGGATAGTTTGAGACCTTAAGGATATAGGATAGTTTTTATCCCGGAAATCATCCCTTAAGGGGGTGAAAATGGGGATGAAAATTTGTATAGGGAATCAAGGTGGCGACGAAGCAAGTCGCTGTACGCACCGACGCTGTCGCCGGCGGCGATGGCCACGATGTTGCTGAGCACGGCGGCGCGCGCGGCGCGCACGCGCGTGCGCAGGCGCCCGTCCGCCGCGCCACCGCACGCGTCCAGGTGCTGCATCAGCGCCTCCACCACGCTGTACGAGTACTGCGCCTGCAACAAGCAAGCACACACATACACACACGCATTGATACTTGCTTCACTTGTTACTGTGTTCTTAAATCTTAAAAATCAGCTTGCAATATGCTGTACTTCTACGGTATTTACAAACACACACACACGCTTTCTTTTTTATTATCTTCACTCGTAAGTAACTAAACACGTTTGATAATCTTGAAAATAAATTTTGACCTAATTATTTTTGTTCTATATTTCAATGTTAATTTGACATTTATAATAAATACTTAATGGAAATATGAATGGAAATGTGACAATAACCATCGCAAACGCGATATCCACGTACACAATATCCAAATACACTTACAGACAATAAAATCAAGTTATAATAAATATCCTAATTCATAATAAAAAAAATTAAACCATGTAGACATAAACTAAAAAAATATACCTATAAATAACCACAAACAAACAAATAAATTTTATTTATTTCGACCAATTTTCTATAAATATATAAAGATAATAAATACATAAAAGCAAAAAAATATATATAACTTCCATGAAATACCATAATATGCCACCACTATATATATGTTATAAAACCATCTGTATATTACAACGCACTAAAACACAATGCGCCTGTACCATAAATGAGAACGTACAGCGCCATTTATACACAACTGTCATGAAACATCAATCACTGTCAAAATAACATATCTTTGAGACAATTAGTTATTCCAATCATATACTTGCAAGATTTTTTTTATGGATATAGAATCGATCAAAAAAGGACATAATATCTATACTAATATTACAAAGAGACCGTTTGTTTGTTTAAACGCGCTAATCTCAGGTACTACTAATCCGATTTGAAAAAAAATTTTTAGCATTAGATAGCACGTTTATTGAGGAAGGCTTATAGGCTATATATCATAATGCTACTTAGTACCCAAGGGAGCGGAGCAGTAATTATAAATGTCAACAAATTGAGCAGACTTCTATACAATACTGTACAACTATATATTATACCAGCATTGCCCGCTGCACCGTCCGCGTTCAAATGACCAAAACCCAAATTCTTAGTTTTAACATATTAGTATACTCTTACATTGCAGTTTTTGTATTTTTTCTCAGAAATGAGACATTTTCCCGCGGTAAAAAGTATCCTATATGTTAATCCGAATAACCAGCTATCACCATACTAAATTTCATCAAAATCCCTCCAGTGGGTTTTCTGTGATGCGGTTACAGACAGACAGACAAAAATTCTAAAAACTATAGATTCGGCCGCTGTATCGGTAATAATGTTTATTTCAATAAGATTTTCTAAAAAATATGTAATGTACAGATTCGGCTTAGAATTTTATTATATGTATAGATAAATACATAAACGAACTCGAGCGAAGCGGTAGTGTGAGTTGCTTTATCACATAAAGCCAAAGAGGTTTTTCGTGTAGATAGATTGCGGGCGAAGCCGCGGGTTCTGCTAGTAAATGTATATAATATACAAGAATTGCTCATTTAATACTACGAGTGTAATATTTATTAGGATAAACAGTCATTGTAATAACTATCTTTTTGTATTGTGTGTTTGTCTAAGTCCGTTCTCATGACGTAACCTATGTCCTTGCCTAATCTTAATCAAAAGCTGCTCAGCAATTTTAGCGTGAAAATGTAGCAAACAGATAGACAGAGTTACTGTCACATTTAATTAGGATAAAAGAACTTACCTGAATAGAGAACATGATGATTTTGAAAGTGTGCACCGCAAAGTCGTTCGGAACCCATAGCTCGTGACGGTCGAAGTGACTGAAAAGATATACATTGTTGTTAATATTCATTAAATGTATCAAAATAGTATAAAAAAATCATAAAATAGATTGATTTTAACGCAAATGTAAATATGTTGCGACATTAACACACAGCACCATCTAGTTCTATAGTAAGCTACGAGGCCTGTGTTATGGACACCAGATAGTTGATACACTACACATATATATAACTTAAGATACATATTATTATAAATATAAACACCCATGACTGAAGTACAAACATTCGTGCTCATCACACAAATGAATGTCCCCAGCGGGACTCGAACCCGCGATCGCTGTCACGGCAAGTAGGGTCACTACAAATTGAGCCAAACGGGTCGTCATATGATATAATAATAGACCAAATTAGCCACTAACGTGAGCACGGGGCGCAGCACGCTGCGGATGTGGCCGAAGGAGGCGCGGCCCACCAGCTCGCGCAGGCAGGCCTCGGCCAGGCGCGGCGGGTGCTCCTCCGCCGCCTCGCGCGCCGCCGGGCACGACACCGTCTCGTACTTCTCCGCCGTCTGTACACACACACGCACACACATATCTATACTAATATTGTATTGTATGTATTCAGCCCTTTTTACCGTCCCACTGCTAGGCGCGGGCTTTCCTTCAGTACTAGAAGGATCAGGCCATAGTCTACCACGCTGGCCGAGTGCGGGTTGGCGGACCTATACTAATATTATGAAGAGGTAAAGTTTGTGAGTTTGTTACGTCGTAGGGGAGTAATCTCTGGATATATATACAGGTGAATACCTGTGTAATGAACTTTCATTAATTTTGTACTATTCTCATTCGCCTGGGTATGTCCCTAGGTACGTTTTAAATAGATATGTCGAAGCAACATTAATTTTCTCTATTATTTTATCATGACTTATACAGTGGGCGTTATACGGGAAGTGTTGGTTCAAATAAAAGTCGATGCAATTAAAGTTGTATTTCAAATTAACAATAATAACTTTGTACATAGTTACACAGCACTTCACTATCACCACGTATAGACAATACGGAACACAAGACAGTATCTACTAGTGCTCACTGCGCGACCGACCAAGAGTGACTCCGCCGCGCGCGGTCGATTGTCACGACGTAGACTCTGTCGAGTCCCAAAAGATGGCGCTCGCATTCCGATTAGTTGTGATTATGACTCGTCTCCAACATATATGTATAATAGTTATTGCAGATTTTTTCAAGTCAATCCCTTGCTCTGTGAAAATCAAATTTATCCCACGGGAACCGTACGTTTTTCCGGGATAAAAAGTAAAATATGTGCTATTCCAAACTATCTCTGTGCCTTTAATCCAAATCCGTTCAGCCGTTCTAGAGTAATTAAGTAGCAAACATCCATCCATTCAAACTTCAATAATGACTATGGATCCCTATAGCTTTTTATTATTTATTTATTTGGATCCACTAATGATAACTACATTGACACATTTTTACATTAACGACACAATTTAACTTAATCTTAACCTTGTAAAATGGATACAGCATGCATTAATTTTAATTCACAATTTAAAATTTCAATGAATTAAAATAATAATAATAATAAGTTCTTTATTTCAAAAAGGTAGTAAGTACATCCAGATATTTGCTTAACACTTACTAAATTTAATTTGGTACATACAAATATTTAAAACATAGCATCTGCAGCCGAACTAGGAGACCTGTGCATCAGCTGTCAGCGCCATATCCCCACGGTTAAAATATAAATAAAATTACTTTAACATCGCCACCTATAAATTATCGTAATAAAAACACACCTTAAAGCTATTGAATAATTTGAAAGTAGACCTATGTCCAGCAGTGGATTAATAAGAGCTGCATCCATTACTTTTTAGATTCAATGTTCTCAGTCTAGAAGAAGAATAAAAAGATGGAGGATAAGAACAACCCACCTGCATGTTGTACAGAAGAGAAGGTACAATCTTATCCATATGCTGCGCCTCCCAAATATTTTCCACGAGATCATCGGACACCGTTTTTCGTATCACGCCCTGAAATAATAAATATAATAAAATTACTTTATTTTTTCATTAACCGCTATCTTTATTAGCGAGAGTACGTGCTTCGTAAAAAAATTAAAAATATAAAAAAAAAAACAAAAATATTATTTGTGATAATATCTAAATTGTTGTAGTTATTATAAAGTATTTGCTGTGGTTTGTGTAAGACAGAACAGGAGGACGTCACGATGTAAAATAAATCATTAAGTTTACAGCAATAGAATTATCTTTAAATTTGCAAATAACATACATTTATGTACCATAAATAATTAATCAATTGGACTGTATTTTAAGAGAAATACAAATTCCAAGAGCTGTTTCTTGATTTCTATCATATCATCGGTCATCCATAGCAAAGCATATTTTATATATTTAACCACAATCTTCATCCGGTTCTTGCAAAATTTCCAAATAAAGCTAAAAATTGGGATAGACAAGTATTGTACTATTTCCAATTACCTGCAATCCCTGAATCCCGGCCAACCGTATGCTATCCCGGGTGGGCTGGTCGCTGTGGTTGCTGTGGCACATCGCTGAGAACTTCGACACGAAGAAGTCGTATCGGCGGTGGTAAGATGGCGTGTCTTCTTCTATGTTTGCGAACCGGACAAACTGGTGGATAATAAGGAAATAATTATATCGAACTTTCTATATAATATGGTTAGAACTTGAAAAACTATAATTTTCAAGAAAATCAAAACACAAAAGCACAAAATCACGAGATTAAAGAAGACATAGTGTTAAACCGTTTCAACTCCATCTAGTGTCGAGTTTTGAAGGTACAGTTATACGCATTTCTGAGGAGACAGACAATAATTTTCTTTCTAATATTTTTGTACTAAGACTCGAATTTTTATATATATATATATATATATATATATATATATATATATATAATGGTTATTGGATATTCTCTATCCTTATATCCTTGTTTCCTCAACTCACAAGTATTATTGCAAGAGACTGATATCTTGAAACTATTTAAATAACGCCATCTACATTATAAGTTCAGAACTAAAGTATTGTTAAAATAATAAGAGTCAATGTTACTTTAAAAAAAAAATTAAGATTTTTTTTTGGATAAAACGTCCTTCCTCGTTAATCTATGCCGTAGTCAATTGATGTGGCGAGTTTCATACAAATCTATTCAACAATTTGCGAGTGATTCGATTAACAGACCCAAACATTAAAGACACTTTACATTACATTTACAACACTAGTTTACGTCCACGTCTTCGTTTTTCCCTTTTTATTTAAAACATATCGGTCAACGCTATCTAATTATTAGTCACAACCAAAGTGTTTTGCTTCATAAACTTTCACACTTATGTATAATATAATTAATTTTAGATTTTTTTTCTGTCTGTCTGTTACTGCATCACGGAAAAACCACTGGAGGGATTTTGATGAAATTTGGTATGGTGATAGCTGGTTATCCAGGTTAAAATATAGGATACTTTTTACCGCGGGAAAATATCTCATTTCTGAGAAAAAATACATACAAAAACAGCAATGTAAGAGTATACTAATATGTAAAACCTAAGAATTTGGCTTTTGGTCGTCTGAACGCGGACGGAGCCGCGGGTAATGCTAGTATAGTATAAAAATGTAACTCACGCTTTGTGTAGCTAAAATCTGTAACTGCGGGTCAGTAGATTCTAGTAACTTCTGAACCATCTTAAGGAAGCTCTCTACGAATAAATTAAGTGTCTGCGAGTGGCAAGCTAGCAGCAGTTGGTCCATAGCCTCCATGGCTATTATTACGAAACTGGAAAAAAGATTTTAAAATTAAACTTTCGATTCAATTCTCTTGTTAATGGCTTCAAAGCGTGACACTTGAGCACAGATTACTTCGCCAATGTCACGTAGTATGGAGAAGACATGACGGAGATTGGTCGGTAAAATAATATTATTAAACTATATTAAATCATAATTTTTAAAAGTTAGTAATTCCTTAATAAAATAACTTTAATGGAAATAATCTCAAGTTAAGCGAGCCTAATCGGTATTTTTTTTGTTATTAAATGGTTTTAAAATAAAATGTTACACGGATTTCGAAATACCTTTAGAGGTAGAATTTCTTTTTTATTTATATTATACAACCTTACAAGTATATTTAATTATTTATAATATGTATGTAATTAAAGTTACATACATATGGGTAGTGTATTAACTGTCTGGTATCCATAACATAAGACTCGTACTAGATGGTGATGTGTGATAATGACCCAACTTATTTATTTATACTCGTATTTATGAGACGACCTTCGAACTATAGTCGAACATTGAGATAATGCAAAACATTACACAAACAATACATATAATAGAGTCTCCCCCTCATCTGAGGTCGATAAAAAAACGCTTTACAATCGATAAAGCTATCGGGTAATGTATGTTTATCCGTGTATTCGCTTGAAAGAAAGTGACAGAAGATATTTTGATAAAAATGTTTATGAGTAATCTAAGATAAGACATGTGTATTCAGCCCCTTTTTAACGTCCCACTGCTGGGCGAGGGCCTCCCTTCAATACGAGGGGGATCAGACCATAGTCCACCACGCTGGGCAAGTGCGGGTTGGCGGACTTCACATGTCTTTCGAAAACTTGCTAGGTTCTCTCAGACATGCAGGTTTCCTCACGATATTTTTCCTTTACCGTAAAGCAAGTGGTAATCATGTTAGAAATAATTTGCACATGAAAATATCAGAGGTGCGAGACCCGGGATTTGAACCCGCCTCACTCGGTTTCCCAAGCAAGCGCGTTACCACTGGGCTACCACTGCCTCATATATCGGGTAATGTTTACAAGAAAATAATAATAAAGAACCTGACGGATTTCGGTAACGGCTTCCAATCCAGCGATTAGCATCTGCGCAAGAGGTATTAGGTCACTTTTAAATTTTAATACGATAATTCGAAACTCGCGGTAATAGATCAGACGCGGGCCGACGGTATTTACAGTGTTCTCCGAGGCAAAGGGGTGAAACACCGCCAACTTCCCAACTCCGAGCTGTTAGGAAGATTTTTTTTTTAATAAAAAATCCAATAATTGCTTGACACCACCCGGGATTTAAACCTTGGACCTCTGGATGTGTCTAGATTAATGAGTCAATTAAGAAAAAAATACAGCTGAGATGAGACCCTTTTCAGTTTTGATAAAATGTGAATGAAATAAACATCTATGTATAATCTTTATAGTTAACGTTGCTTGAGACGTATCAATCACCTAACATATTTGTACCTATAAAAATGGTTTAGGCTATATGCCGTATAAAAGAAATATGTACAATGTACATACAAATACACTTACAAATCATTACCCTCCTTCAGTGACAATCGAATAAAGTGAAAATAGTTTTTGATATTTACATTTTAATATATGCATACGTAGAGACAAATAATTTTTATTTTGGCATTGAAAAATCTATCTATATTACAGATGTAGCTTACTAGCTTTTAGTTAACACACAACACTTATAATGATAAAGTTATCTTAAGTGTCATGGCATGATTTGATAAAATTTAAACTCTTTACTAACGGAAAGTTTACAGTGTCTTAATTAATATAACAGGCAGAAGAAACGTTTAGCATTGTTTAGCAAAACAAATAAAAAAAAATAACAATCGTGAGTGTACATTGCACGAGGTATCCTTTAACATTGTTTAAATCGAAACAGCGACCTTTAGCATAATAAAATGTTTCTGTGGCAAAGTTAAACATACTTATATCTATAGTTATATCGATTGAAAAAAAAAAGAGTAAAAAAAACGAAAATACGTCAACACTCACCCATGCCTCCTACGATAAATATCCCTCGACGCCTTTTGAAATAGATATTCCCCAATCCTGTCGAGTTTCTCCGGACTCGAAAGCGAGTAGAAAGTGAGTTTCTCCATGTTCGATTTGACGAGGCCATCTTGCGGGGAAGCGGGAAAGATGTTGTCAACCAAACGCTTGTAGCGGGGCCGGAGAGCGGAACAGCATCCGCAACAACCTGGAAAAGATTACATTTCTTATAGAATTTTCAATTCATTCAATTCTCTAGTGAAAGGCTTCAAAGCGTGCCAGTTGAGCACAGATTACTTCACCAATATCACGTAGGATGGAGAAGACAACTATTCAATCATACGAAGTGTAACAACAAAGATAACAAAAAAAAATTGATGAATCATAATGAAGTGTCATACCATCAAATATGTTGTAAAAGATAGAGAATTATAGTTTAAAATTTTTAATCTCTTATCGTATTTAAAGGAAATTGAAATTTACTTTTCATTTTAACTTTCTTATCACCTTGTTCACTGTTCTAAGAATTCGCTTACGAGTACGTACGCAGTCACACCTTATATATTAAAATTTAAAAGATTAAATGTTCAAACTAATTAGTGTTCACCCAGTGGTCGAAATGCGACCATTAGAATTATTGAAATTTTTTAAAAAATATGTATGTATCAATACAATTGACCTTTCTATGTAAAAAAAAACTGTTTCTAAAAATGTTTTATTATTAACACTAAAGCTCGATAAGTCTAAGCCTAGTACTACAAAGAAAATCGGTTGACAAACAGAGGAGAAAAAGGTGTTTTGTCTTTGACTATATTAATATTCCCTCAACGACCGCGGACACGCCGGCGTTACAGTTAACAATAGATTTCTTAGAAATTTTATTTATTTTTTAGAAATTTACCTGGAGGTGATATATAAAATTCCCGTGTCACGATGATGGTCCGGGATGAAATACGAAACTACTCATCCGGGCTTAACGTATTTTTTTTAATGTGTGATTTATAATGTATTCCAAGTACCAACTTTAAAGAAAGGATAGTTTTTATCTCGATTATTTCCTTTTTTTATAGCAAAATTAAAGATTTTCTGTTGTGTGCTAGTTTATATATAGATTTAGCATGTAAACATGTCTCATATTGTATGCCTATAACGATACAATTATTAGAAGCCAAGGGCACGTATAGATTATCAGATTTCACTTATATTGTATCTTCCCACCCCCTTCAGGGTACAATTTGTGGTTAGTCTATTACATAGTAAAGTCATTTCATATTGAATTAAATTATTTCTTAGTATAGACAAAAACGTTTTTCATATTCGACGATACTTAAAGATGAAAGAATAACGAATTATGTTATTACTCGTATAACAGGATGCCTGTAACGTACGAAGGCACTTTGTTAAGTGGGACTTGAAACATATTGAAATTCCATTTCGATATTAAAATTACATGTAGTGAATATAGCATTAGATTTATTCTTTGAAGTTTTCTCTATGTCTCTAGCATATGTATATTAGGGTTTAAAAAATTGAAAAAAGCTGTAGTGCTCTTGCACATAAAGCGGCTATTTGACAAATGACGTTTATAGCAGTTATGAACAATTTTTAGTCTAAAATATATCTTTGTACAAAAAACAAAGCTTTGGAGAACGAACGGAAGAGACGTTGAAAGGACGTTTCAATTTTAATAATATAAAAATCGGTAAGTTATTATATTATGAAAGATTTGAACTTTATCCCGACCATGAGATCAGATGTCAATCGATTAGAAAGTGATAATGCAATGCACTAACGCTTTCCTTACATAGTAAAATAATAGAAGAAGACTATATAGTTATAGAATAACACGGGCCTTAATGTCAATCCACACTATAGTGCCGATCACAGTTCGTTCTCGGTCTACTAAAGTACATATATTTATACAAGCAACGTTGTTGGAGTGTGACTCTATCAGAAAATTTTCTTTCTGATAGTGTGATAGCTTTTATTGTTTCTTGTATAAAATACTTTACCTGACCGATTTCGGACCGAGAACGAACCATGATCAGACAGTATAGTGTCGGTCGGGGGTTAGTCACTAAAATCTACCGCCACATTGCAATGGGTTTTGGCAGGATCGCTTACGTACATATTATAACACCCTGTAACATTAATTGTTACATGTCTTAATTCTTAATAATAAAATAATAATAAAAAAAAAATAAACACAAGAAGTTATTTAAAACCTTTTTTTTATTTTAGTCCAACAATTGGTTTCCATGGGATATTAGGTCAGTTTAAGAAGTAGATTGGGCATTGACGTAGGCTGAAAATGGACCAGTTTTTCGTTTGGTCTTTTTTTTGTAAAGATAATAAAATAAATAATACTATACGAGTATATTTAATGTTATATTTATATGATAAATAAAGATATCCAGAACTCTATATTCCGATGTATTTCTAGCGAATAACTTATATGTATAGGAATCGAACCTGTTACCTCAATAAGTAAGACTAATTAAAGATAATAAATCTTGCCATTCACATTGGTAAAAATAAAATTGTCAACTCACATGTCATATACACTGTTCGGCTGACGAAGAAGCATGTTCGATGAGCGATTTTACGTATCGGAATCATTTCTTCACTTCACTATTTAATTTAATTTTCTAATGTCCAAACTACAGTTTATCTAAACCATAGCTATTAATATAAACACATAATTCAAATAATAAATTAACAGTCTCGTTTCTTTTTAAATTTCACATATAATAATACTATATTATAATAATTTATTTAAATTTTTCACTCTAGCACTTCTAACAGTAAATCAAATCAAAAAGTTTGAAAATGTACCAAATAACAAAGAAAGACAGGAAGACGATGGTTATTTTGAAAACAGCGGAAAGAGCGTGTCGAGATGTTATTTATAAAGTTGTTATTTATCTATGGTAAAAATACAATGTTAGACTTTCCATTACTAACTTAATGAAAACATTCTGAGAATTGATATTTCAATTTGAATTTCTAAATAAATACTTTTGATACACCTACGAGTATGTATGTATAAACCCTTTAAATTTTACACCTATAAATAAAATTAAAAGAGTCTGTCTATGATTTTAAAATAGCTGCCATATATTAAGCTCATATAGTAATATGCTATTTAAGATCAAACAACACTATTTAAAAAAAGTAGTGTTCGTCCAGTGGTCGAAACTCGATTATAATTAATCATTATGAAAAAATTTGAGGAAGACATACATGTATAGAATTTAGCTATCTATATAAAAAAACTAGCGACTCACCGTCGCTCCGCTCGGGTTCGTCCATACTTACGTTTTCAGGTTTAGTATAGATTTCTCAGAGATGAGATAGTATAGATTTCTCAGAAATATTTTCCCGTAGTAAAACGTATCCTGTATGTTGACCCGGATCACCAGCTGTCATCATACCAAATTTCATCAAAATCTGTCCAGTGGTTTTCCGTGATGCGGTAACAGACAGACACACAGACAGTCAGACAAAAATTCTAAAAACTATTTCCTCAAATTTTCCATTGTAATAAATTAATAAACAGCAAGCGTAGACGGAGACAGAAAGTGTAATGACATGTTGATGACTAAAAAAAGTATTTTTAAACTACATAAATATGTACACTATATATGTACATACATACATACATTTTCGTTGTTACTAATTTATAGCAATATAATTAACAGTTATATTAAACTGTGTTTTTATCTCACTCTTATCCACTTAGGTAAGTTCTATAATTAAAGTTAACTGTACTTGCGCGTGCGCATAGTCACAGGTTACGTTTATTAATTAATTGATCATAAGAACTGTTAAAAAAATGGTATTTTATTTAATAATTACGAAAATATATGGATTTTATATTTAACTAGCATTGCCCGCGCCTCCGCCCGCGTTCATATGACCAAAAACTAAATTCTTAGGTTTTATATATTAGTATACGCTCACAATGCAGTTTTTGTATTTTTTCTCAGAAATGAGATATTTTCCCGCGGTAAAAAGTATTCTATATGTTGATCGGGATAACCAGCTACCATCATATCAAATTTCATCAAAATCTGTTCAGTGGTTTTCTCGTGATGCGGTAACAGACAGACAGACGAAAATTCTAAAAACTATAGGTTCGGACTCTGTATCGATAATAATGTCTATTTCAATTAAATTTTCCAAAAAATATTTAATGTACAGATTCGACTTGGTTACAATTTTATTATATGTATAGATAATTGACTATTGTTTTACATAATACCAAAATCGACATTATAGGTATGAGTTAGACATGAATACTACCATGGTCTTTATTAGGAGTACAGCAATATAAGTTTAATTTAAAGTCAATAGATGGCGTTATACCTATGTATCGATTTTTTTAAGGTTCATCAATCTTCTATACTAATATTATAAATGTGAAATTTTGTGAGTATAGATGTATGTTTGTTACTCTTTCACGCAAAAACTACTGAACGGATCTGGATGAAATTTGGCACAACGCTAGATTTATTAGTCTGGTATAACACATGGCTACTTTTTATTCCGGAAAAATGTACGGATACCGTGAAAGGATTGTTTTTGTCTGCCTAGAGGCGAACCCGAGCGAAGCGAAGGTGAACCGCTAGGTATTTAAAAAAAATATCTAAAATGTTCATTTTATTTGTGAGCATGTATTGTGTCATCTACGGTAGGTATTCCGGTGGTAGTGGATTCTAAATTCTAATTGTCAATAGATTCTGTTATGCGATTGTGAATACACAGATATAGTGACATCACATTGGAATGATCTACTTGAATCGAAGAATTAATGGGCCAGTTCCTATAGTTGAGCGCCTTCTCCACAAAAAAATATAGCTTTCTGAGATATTATAGGAGATATATTGAATTAAAATTTAAAATGAATATATATATAAATGTTTAATATATATACTTTTTAACCGAATTGAAAGAGAAGTAGAATATGTTCGTCAATTGTGAATTAATTTTCATAATTCATTAATAAAATTTAATTAAGTAATACATTCGGGGGAGTCCCGAAATAAATTCAAGAAAAAGTTTAACAGTGAAATAATTACTTTAAAAATGAATCGAGTGGCCACTTTAAAAGTATACTTATTTTTAGTAATTTTACGCGTTTTGTCTTAAATTTATGTTGCACTAAATAACTTATAACATCTTTCTTAAACTTGACACTAAGATAAAAAGTAGAAAGAGACAGGTAGAGGGAGAGATAGAGTAGAAATATATCTTTATGCAAAAAAAATCACATCGATCCGTTGCCATGTGACAGAAGAATAAATCTATAACACTTCCACATTTGCACGACACATCACTATTTTGACAATACTTGTATAATTTCATATATTTTATATCAACATTAAACTCATATTATTTTAATTCAGCCCTTTTTTCAACGTCCCACTGCTGGGCAAGGGCCTCCCTTCAATACGAGGGGGGTATTATATTATTTTTGCACTTAAATAAAAACCTTTTTACATAGTAAAATAACATATTGACTAAGTTTCCAGAAATAGAACTTTTATTTATATAAAACACATCATATAAGGAAAACACCAATACTTTTATTGAATTATTAATAAATTTTATCAAAGCACTGTCCGCACCACGACGCTCCCGAGTGTGTACTAAACGAGAGTCGAGATAACATTTATCTACTCCTATATAATAACATGAGGTGTATATTTTGTTGCTTAGAGGTAAAAAAATAAGTAAGATACTTAAAAAGATTATTTCTGATGAAAATTTTGGTGTTATTAAATCAAAAATATAGCATTCGCCTGCGGCTTTGTTTGCTTATCTCGTTCTATCTGTGCCCCGCGTTTTCACCCGCGGTTTTTGTTTGTTTATAAACATAAGTTTTACAATAATGTATGAAAGTCTGCCCGATTTGTTGACATTTATGGTGACTACTCCACTCCCTTGGGTAGTAGCCTAATGATATATAGCCTATAGCCTTCCTCAATATACGTGCTATCTAATGCAAAAAGAATTTTTCAAATCGGATTTCAATCGGAGAAACTGTATTATCTTTGCCTATACATACATATATACTTTTACATGTAAATATAGACCTATTCTTACATATCACGACTAAAATGACCCTACTAGGTTGCCTGTATCAAGTTAGTGGAACAAATAATATAAAATACACGAACATATATCAGCAATGCGATAAATATATCATATAATATATATCTATATATTATATTTGTTAAACTTGTTTTATCAATTATTATAATGTAGGGCATTATATCGAGACCCGAACCCGCTACCTTCTATAGAGCAATAGATAAAGTAACCAGTACGTCACCCTGTTATCAATTTATTCGCATGTTGCTGAGGTATACATATATATTTATTGGGTCTTTGTTAGTCCTTCACTAAAAAATAAAAAGTTTTATCTTTAGTAAATTTTAACATAATACTTTCTCTTATCTTAGTAAATTTAATATAGACCCGCAAACTCTAAATAATTGTATACCGCTTTACAAGAGAATACAATCGCAAAGTACCGGACCCTTATCATGTTGTCAATTTGGATTAATTCAGGGACTTAACCAATTGTGAATAAATTAGTTTATACTTTTAGTAAGACTAATAGCATACATCAAATTCTATTAAAACCAGCCCGAACATTTTTAGGGTTTTGTACCCGAAGGGTACCATCGGAAACCTATTACTAAGTCGCCGCTGTTCGTCCGTTCGTCCGTCTGTCAGAGGGTTGTATCTCATGAACTGTAATAGGTAGACAGTGGAAATGGTCACCGATTAAGTATTTTCTATTGCCGCTATAACAACAAATAATAAAAATAAACAAAAAAATATACAAAAAACATTTTTTTAACGTTCGTAATCGATCATCGAAGTAAATATACTACAGTACGATGGTACGGAACCCTTCGTGTATGAATTCGACTCGCTCTTGACCGATTTTTTGCAATTTGTAAAAAAAGAAACAAACAAACAAAATGAAAGAAAAAATACAACGTGCAAATAGTCACGTTAACAAACTATACTCGTAGCTATAGATAGTGTTGAAATGCTTCATTGGCTCCTTGCTCTACTTATCTTGTAGATCATTTTCACATTAATAACTGCTTATTATTTACTAGCGGCTCACCCTCACTCGGCTCGGGTTCGTCCCTAGGTACATTTTGACGGATAGTATAGAATAGATAGATTATATATTAAATACTTGGGTATGATGAGTTGTTGTGTGTTGTATTGTAACGTGTTTTCCCGTGGGAACGAAATAATCTTCCATTGTAAAAGCAGCCTATGTAATGCCTTCAGCCCTCCAACTATTTACACACAAAAAATCACGTAAATCCGTTAGTCTCATTTATAATATTGAGTATGGAAGTATGGATTTTAAACTATACGACATACAATTCAAGTGTTACAACTTAAAAAAAAATCTTCGTTTTACATATAAAGAAAAATTATCAAAATATACCAAAAAATTTTAAGATTCATTGTCTGGAATATTGTTTATTCCATAAGTACACAAAAGGAAATTAAAAAAATAAATTATTTACGAGATAAAAAGCAATCTTTATTATTCTATATTTCATACTTGAGCTACTGATAAA